ACCTCCACCTTGCAAATGTGGGATTTCTACCATCAGCTCTGCGAGTCCAACTGAGAATTGTTCAATACACATTCGATGAGGTGTACTTTTGTGTGACTTTTTCTGCTTTAAATGCAATTGTCTTATTTTCAATGACGAGCATGAATTTCAATCACACATTTCCCATGTTGGTGGCATTGTTCAATTAGATAGACACACTGGTCTTCGTCATGGGAACGTATAATTTCAAGCCACTGATAAACTCAGATGACCATTTCCCAATGGGGGTTATTTAGCTATACTTCACCACGCCGGTCAGTGTGTGTTGGTGAAGGCGGCGAGAGGTACATACTTGAGCATAGAAGTACAGTGCAAAAATAGATGTTTCCTCACTACCATCAGTGGCCCACCACGGAGTTCCACAGGTGCCCATGACATTTGTTTAATGCATGGTGGTCGCCCATCAAAGTGCTCGCCAGGCTCGATGCTGCTTAACTTCCGAGACCTGATTATGTTGAGCACATTCCGGGTGACATTGACATTGACCCGTCGTAAGAGTTAACCCAGAAACAGGGTCGATTCTCTTGCCTGTATTCAATAGTGCTCTGGATTATTGAAAGTGTGCCTCTGTTGAGTGTTTGGACAAAGCAGAGCACCGACCACATCACAAACACAATCATCACAGTCAAAGCTGATTATAGGTACACCAATTGAGAGCAAGGCCATGTGTGCTTATATTCACATTAGTGTGCTTGTATCAGAATTTGCCCTATGCCTTTTCCAACCACTCATGTAATGTCAGCACTTGTTTCTTATATTTGAACTGTGCTTGTATAAGGTGTGCTCATATCCAATTCAAGGTCATGCATACCAGCTCCAATTCAACACGAAAGATGTTTTTTGCAGCTAGTATTATTATTCATACCAGATTTTTGTGTAATACCATGTAATTATATGGCCAAATCTGTGTCAAGGCCCTCCACACCTGACACAGCCAAAAAAATTATAGTGCCGCGTGTACGAGCGTTTAATGTCACTTGTTGATGTTAGAGCATCTTCGTCAAAAGATCGAGACTCTTTAGTTCTGACATCCTGGATCTTGTCCTGATGCTGTTTTATGTAGGTTAAAATGAAACATAGCATCGAATGGTGCTTCAGGACAAGCCTTCCAATCGTCTTGGTTTTCTGCCTCGCCATTGGACCCAGGCTTGGTTCCTGGTTAAGCCCCGTGCGGTAGCTGGTGTGCAACAGACACTGCACGTAAATTAATTCACGCACTGGCACCCTTCAGGGAAACTGTGCCATTGCACCACCACACTAGACACCCAAAGCCCTTGGGCGATTGATAAGTGGTGAGCGGGGCAGGCCTATGCGGCTAGAAACTCCTAGTCACAACCCAGCACTAAGGCGGCAGCTATTAGAAGGTCGTCATGCACTCGGATTAGGCAGGAGTGCATCCCGGCAGCTGTAGCTGTGACTGAGCAGTCCACCAGGATCCACTCTGCTCACCCCAAATGAGGAGGGGCTAGAAAAGGTGCCCTAAACATAGCCTGCCTAGCAACATCCTGTCTGGCTTACCGCGACCAGAGGGAGCATCAATAATTGCGGTCAAAACAAAAATAAATCTAAACTAAACATGGATCCTGCAATGTCAGGACCCTCACAGACAACCCAAACTCACAACGTCCAGAGCGCCAAACAGCTCTTGTGGCACACAAGCTGAGACGATTTAATATCCATATTTCCGCCCTCAGCCAAACCTGTCTGGCGGATGAAGGCCAACTGACCGATCTAAATGGAGGCTGCACCTTCTTTTGGAAGGGCAAACCAGCGCATGAGCGACGCCTGCATGGTGTAGGGTTTGCAATAGACAACGTGCTCATCGACAGCTTAAGTGAGCTCCCAATTGGTATCCATGAGCGTTGCATGACCCTACGCCTGAAACTCGCAAAATACCAAGATGCAACCATAATCAGCACCTATGCACCAACACTGGACTCTGAAGAAGACACTAAGGAGACCTACTACAGCCAACTCAACCAAATTACTCAGAGTACACCAAAAACTGACAAGCTGATTCTCCTTGGCAACTTCAATGCTAGAGTTCGGAGAGACCATCAAATGTGGAATGGTGTAATTGGTAAAGAGAGAGCTGTAAAGTCCAACTCCAATGGTCACCTTCTTCTTATAACCTGTTCTGAGCACGACCTGACAATCACCAACACCCTATTCAGGCAGAAGAATAGTCTTAAGACCTCCTGGTACCACCCTCGATCACACCAATGGCATTTACTGGACTACATGATTGTTAGGAAGCTTGACAGCACAGACGTCCGCATCACTTGTGCCATGATCAACGCAGACGATTGCTGGACTGACCACAGACTAATTCGATCAGTGATGACTCTCAAACTAACCTTTCATGACTGCAGGAATCCATGCTCTTTGGTTATTTTGGTAAAGTCATGTAGGTAGAGAAAAAATTGAAAAATATACATTTAATTTAATTTATTTTATTTTATTTTTCTACCTACGTGACTTTACCGAAAAAACCAAAGAGAAAAGCAGAATAAATACAACATCTTACTGATTCCAATAACCCACATGAATCTTTTAAGCAAACCAAAGTCTTATATGGGCCATCAAAACAGGGCCTTGCACCACTTCAGTCTAAGGATGGGACAGAAATCTTCAAAGACAAAAATGCAATCATCTCCCGCTGGCAGAAACACTTCAGCACTCTTTTAAACTGCAACGCTGTTGTATATGCTTCTATATTTAGTGAGATTCTGCAACACTCTACCACTGAGGATTTAGCTGGAGAACCAACGATGCTTGAAATGGCTAAAGTTGTCAAGCAGATAAAAGAGGACAACGCTAGTGGGCTAGACCAGATTCCTACTGAGATTTAAAAACATGGAGAACAACGCCTACCAGAACACCTGAACTCCTTCATGGCCAGGATCTGGAATGATGAAGACCTTCCCAATGAACTGAAAGATGCCATCATTGTCACCGTCTTAAAAAAAGGTGACAAGTCAGACTGTGACAACTACAGAGGAATATCTCTTTTTGCCACTGCTGGAAAAATACTGGCAAGAATCCTACTAAACAAACTTCTACCACTTGCTGAAAAACTCCTTCCTGAATCGCTGAATGGTTTTCCACCTGGCAGGGGAACCTCAGACATTATCTTCTCAGCTCGTCAACTCCAAGAGAAGTGCCAGGAGCAGAGACTACCATTGTACATGGCCTTCTTTGATTTGACTAAAGCTTTTGATTCTGTTAATCGTGATGCACTATGGATAATCCTTCTGAGATATGGCTGCCCAACAAAATTTGTAAAAGTCCTCCGTCTGTTGCATGACGGTATGAAGGCTGTCATCCTCTCTGATGGTGAAACCTCAGAGCCAATCGAAGTAAGGAACGGTGTGAAGCAAGGCTGCGTTAATGCACCAACTCTTTTCTCCATCTTCCTGGTGGGAATGCTTCATCTGACGGAGAACAGACTTCCCAGAGGCATAAATAACAAATATAGGACAGACGGGAACATATTGAACATCAACCGTTTCAGAGCCAAGTCAAAAACATCAATCACATCCGTTATTGGGTTCCAATATGCTGATGATGCCCAAGTCAGTGCCTGCTCAGAAGCTCACCTTCAGGTCATCGTCAACATATTTACAGATGCTTGCAGCAGGATGGGTTTAACATTGAATACCTAAAAAAACAAATATCAATTTTCAACAAATTCCGGGAGGACACCTACCACCCCCTACAATCATTACAAACAATGCAATACTAGAAAACGTTCCCAGTTTCCCATACTTAGGCAGCCATCTCTCTCGCAATGTCTTAATTGATTATGAAACCCAACATCGGATTGCCCGAGCTCGTGCTGCCTTTGGCAAACTTAAGAACAGAGTCTTTGAGGACCACGACATTACCACCAAGACGAAAGTGGCTGTGTATAATGCTGTGATCATTCCAACCCTCTTAAATGGTGCAGAAACCTGGACCACTTATCGTAAACACGTAAAATCTCTCGAAATGTCTAATCAACGTTGTCTCAGGAAAATACTAAACATCACCTGGGAATGAAGACAAACTAATATCAGTGTCCTGGAGCGATCCAACTCATCCAGCATAGAGGCCATCATCATGATGTATTAACTCAGATGGGCAAGTCACCTTGTGAGGATGAATGACTCGAAGTTTCCTAAGCAAATCTTCTATTCCCAGCTCAGCAATGGATTACAAGCCCCTGGAGGGCAAAGGAAGCGTTTCCATGACCACCTTAAAATGCACCTCAAGCGAAGCCACATAGATCCAAACAACTGTGGAATCAATGCTCTTGATAGACCATCATGGAGGGCCAAAATAAACAATGGAACTCTGCATTTTGAGGCCGAGCGAAGAGTTGATAGCCAGGAAAAGAGTGCGCCGCAAAGCACATACACCAGAGACAGAGGCAACAACGAGTGGGAGCTCCAGGATAGACCATCCGTGCTCCCACTGTGCCAAGATCTGCAGGTCATGGGTTGGCCTATTAAACCATCTCCGGACCCATGGACAGCCAGGTCCACCTTACAACACAGACAAGTGACACCTGGAGGGAAATCATACTCGACTACGAGGGATCCCAGTAGACAGAAGAAGCATCGAATGACTGCATTTGGTTGTAGGAAATTCTTCATTGACTCACCGGTGAGTTGAAACGATAATAATTGGTGCATCGAACTCTTGTACATGTGGACGATTTAATGATTTAATGTATCTCAGGTGGTGGAGACCATTGTGGCCTAACCGAAGTAAATATATCTAACGTGTATTTGGGTTCTTATTGGGACCTTTTGAATAGGGTATGTGATCTACGTTTCCCAACAAAGTTATATTCAAAGCAGTGAGAAGGTTCAATGCAGCAATGACATCTACTTACACGGTAAAGACCGTTTCATATACTTTTGTAATGTCTTTTGCAGAAGTAGTAAAAGCACAATTTGATTTGAAAAGCAAATGAGTCCATTTTTTTCCCTTTTTATTTCGAAGCGATACAAAAGAAAATTAAACACATATATCCTCTATCGAGACCAGTCAGCTACTGGCGTCCCGAACTACAAGGGATATTGCGTGTGTAACACGCGCAATGTAGGGCCCTGTCACACACACCCAGCAGACGGCCGCCACCCACACTGACGGGCGTCTGCCACGGTCAACACTCTGAACCTCACTGGCAAAAATATGCGTGAAACGTATCCGGTCAAATCTCACACAAAGGCATTCCCAAATTTTGACAGCCCTGAAACCGTCTGTAGTGTCTACTGCCCCGACTGACCAAAGTAGTCATGGACGCCTGAATAATTCAAGAATATGAATCATTATCCCCCCCCCCCCCCCCCCACTTTGACATATTTTCCTGAACACACGATTCTGCCAATTCCCAAATCGATACAGCTACAATATTTGAATTGTTGCGATCCGAATCAAGAACCAATTAATTAAAGGTTTTTTTTGTCGTTCCGTTGGCACTGTCCTTTTTGACTCAATTGTATAATTTTTTGTTCGCAGCAACCGGTGACATCAGCAACTCGTTTACAAAAATCGCAAATAATTCCTTTTACACGTGCAATTTGATGCATATATCATGAGCGTACTAGTCGATTGTGATTGAACCAATACATCATTAAACGCCTACTTAATACCTCTACATTCAGCTGTCTCAAACTCGTCACTGGGTAGATTTTGCTGAACAAAAGTAACTGTTTTAGTTAAATCAATTATTAAACATTAATTTGCCTTTTTAAACTAATTATTCTGTACTCTATATAAGTAACGCGAGTGAGTGATATCTGAACTGATCATGGATCCCCTTCACCAGCCCACACCGATCAACGTGGTCAAGTATGGCCAATACATCACCATGATCAACACGGTGTCTGTAAGCCTTCATCCAGCAGTGGATTAACAAAAGGGCTCTATATTATAAATGTAATGTATTACTGTACACACATTAACAATTTTTATGTTTTCCGAAAAAAGATGTTACTTGCAATAGTGCTTCTTATTGTAAATTGTGGAGAGTATATATGGTGGAAATTACTAAGAATTGTATCTTTCCAGATAGTCCCAATGGGAATATGATAAACTTCACCATCTTTGCATGGTTCACAAAAACCTATGACGCTCTACTTCTTGCAATTGCTGATATGAGTGCGTGCCGATTGTTTTTTGTTGCTGAAGTAGCGAAACAAATGTTAGCATGTACCCTTATATCGATAATGATGGATATTACTCTCCGATTGATCATTTTGTGGACATTACAGGGCCAAGCAAATAAAAAAAAACTGCGCAGTGCTAACGGTGCCGCACGAGCCCAGCCCATCAGCAGTGTGGCGCATTTTGGCAACTATGCGTGTGGTTATGTTCCACGTAAACATCGCTTCACCTCACCAAGCCGTTTCACGTTTACAGAAATCGACATTCGTTGAAATGAGAATGCAGTCTTATGTACTGCTGGCTTTTCAACAATTTGTTTTAAGTGACCATGTTTCCTGATTACAAAATTTAATAGATGTCAGCCTTGCAAGCAATTGTGCCGAAAACATTACCCTTAATAAAGACCTGTGTATGCCAATCTTTGCACCGTGCGCTGTGTCGGTGCTGTCAGTCGGGAGCTCAGGCATTCATTGGAAGTGGAGGCATTGATTGTTGATGCCCACAGACTGCAATGAAGGTCTTAGTCAGTCACGATAAGTGGCATGGCAAGTGCACAGCACAGCACGCGCACAGGTGCAGACACGCATACACGCACGAACACGTACGTGAGACATGTGCGCACACATTCATAGACACATGTACCACCATAGCATTTAGAAACTGTTGGGATAAATGCTGTTAGCGAACACTTATTAAGGCCGAAATGGTGCACGAGGGGATGGTTTGGCCAGCACAATGCCTTGCCACCTTTATCTCCTCCGTGCTAATGTTCTGATTCTTTACCAGCGACTCCTTTATCTTGGGGGTGTCCAGGACCAGTTTTGATATCACTCGCCCCTGATGCTGGCTGTGTCTGAGAATTTAAAACAGGTTTCTGGGTTCGTAGTGCAGTAGTACACTAACCACTGTTCCATTGTTCACCTGTGTGCACATACATACACAAACACACGCTCACATACGTGCATGTACAATGATCTTTTTTAACATTCATTATAGTTGTAGGAATCGATATGATTTTGTTATTCAGGCTTGGTCGTCAATGTGTGTGTGCGTTCCAGCATAGCTGCTGCCTTCCATTAACGTTTGCAATAACAAAAACGCTTTACTTGTGACAAATAAAACTGTTTTTTTAAATAACTTTTATACATTATTAATCGATTCACCATGTGAATTCATCTTCAGTTACAAATTTATGGCGATCTGTCAATTTAAAAAAGGACGAATATAACAAAACATCTTATACTCTTCATAGCAACTGTGGTCACAGACACTTTCAAAGAGTGCTAATGTAGATAAACACATTGAAGAATAAGCCATGGACAAGTAATTGACAGCATGAAAATTCGGCATCAATGACTGGATTTATGTGACCGATTATTTGAGACAGTAGACCGATCGTGTTTTAATCAATGTTGCAGATCATAATAAATATTGAGACACAAATAAACCACATGTATAAATTACGTGTTGCAGCAAGCGGGAAAATGTTTGCATTCATGTACACCGTCATATTTTTTTCATTTTTTTGACCGAAGATTTTCGCTTGAGGAATAAAAGTTCCAAGTTCAACAAAGAGTTACTGCATCTCTTTAAATGAATACACTAGTTTGATTTACAATCTTATAGTGAACAAAGTGTGGGTGGAACGAGCACAAACAACCATTTTTTATAAAAATTTATTAACCTAAGTTATGTAATCTTTCAAATATGTGTTACAGAAATATACATGAATATTTTGGAATAATCTACATAAACATCATTTTTTTCCCATTTCATAAAGTCTCTAGACTGTGTGTATCAACATTTTTTTTTATATCAAAATGAAACTTTTAATGGACTGAGAACTTTTTTTATAGAAATACTACATTCCACAAAATAGTCAACCCAGTAAATCTTCTACAAAGAAACACAATCCAACAGTAATGGTGATTATCCATTGCGTCTATGCAAATGTGAAAAGTGGGAACGTTTTTCGTAACGTAAATCACATCAAAGTGTTCATGAGAAAGAAACAAAAACATCTGCAGTTTATCGAGATGGAAATGTATAGGTCCAGCTTTTTATATGATATAAATAGGTTTATACATATAACAGGCTATGACATTAAAAAAAATGTCGTCTTAAAGGTCTGTTTTGAAACATGCTTGGATATCAAGCAAATATAAGTCCGTCAACAAGTTTGACAAAAGTTAGGTGGATGGAGATAAGGTTTAATTTTTTTCTTTATTTTCCATTCAGCCGATTGTCCTAAAGCTCGACTTCAAGCAGCAAGGTGATGGTTGGTGGGCTTCCCCCGTCCCGACCGAGCCAAGCAGCGCCCACCCGCCACTCCCCCCACTCCCCCACCCCCCCTCGTCACAAGGCCCGGTGTCCACGGCGTTGCAGAAGAACGCGCGGTCACACTTCGGTTTGTATGTCGCTTTCGTGACCCCCCAGTGGAATGGTGGCCCCTGGTTTCTCCCACTCAATGTTTTTGAGTTCTACCCGTTGATGGGCCTCTCCGTAGGCCTCCTTTTTGCCCCAGGTTTGCTGGGTGGGGCTAGCCCTCCGGATGCAATCCCATGACGTCTTGCTCGGGGTCTGCTTCTCTTGGCACTAAAGAAGGCACAACGAGAATTGCACAAAACAACAACGGTGGTGGTGAAAATACTGCGCTGCCAGTGGTACGCAAGCTCAAAGAGCAGCAACTGAACACATTTGGCAATAACTGCCCTTAAAAGGGAAATTTGAAATGTAATAGGCAACGGTTTGGGCCAAGACCTTTATTAATATAAGATGTATGTATGTATGTTGAACTTATTTCGCGCCGTACGTAGCCAACCACGCTAATCAGAAGTGCGGGGGAAGGATAATAAACTAAATACCAAAAATATATATCTCTTTGCTGTCATGCTCAAAAGTTATATTTGGAGAGGCTCATCTGCATTGTCCCTGAGCCATTAGTGGCAATTCTCTGGCAGGGACTAGTCTCACCACTCTACAGTGGTACTCGTATTTAACTCTGTAGACTGCTATGCAAAGACATCCAGGAGTGGAAGTTTATGACATTCCATTTGTGTCAGGCACTCAATTTCTGGATTGACGGATGAAGTTATTTTCATAATGATTTTTGACCTAATATTCACGAGCTAGTTATCCATAGTTAGATTGCTCATGAGATGTTATCTGTGATCATCAAGCAATAAAAACCCATAACGGAGAAATGTGATTTTTCATCCCTATACTCCATATTTTTGACTGTAAAATTTACTGTTTAACACGTAGGCTTTCGCAACCCAAAAACGTTGATTATGAATGATTATGTAAAATTTACACCGTAACATAGCAACTGTGTGCTTGAAGATGTTTTTTTACAAATAACAAGATACTATCGGATCATGTGATGTGCAAGTATGCGTGCTTAACCATTTAAAGCAAACCAAATGCAGCAGAAACATAATTCCTGGGCATCACACTAAGAGAAGAGCATGCACACATCGGGATGATTGCAACTGATGGATAAAATTAACGGCTGACAGAAACGATCCAAAGTAGGACGCAGAGAAACAAAACTATGGATTTAAAGCTGTACAGCACCTGAGGCAAAAAATAGTGCGAGCTTTTGATAAAGTCGTGAATGGGGAAGTACTGCTGGCAGAAGCTTAATCGTTTGTAAAATGCAGCATCATCCTCAGACTGCCGCGATACGCCTTGATGAGCGTGGCAGTCTTCAACGATGTACGTCATCTAAGAATAGGTTTTCCCCTTTTCCTGGCAACAAAACTGAAACCTTTTTACAAGGAATCATGTCTGCATTAACCACAATACTTGTGGTCAGAATGCAAACAAAAAACGCAATCTGATAATATATGCATTGTCCTTGAAACTGATTGGTCCACACCAGAGACATCTTTCTTTTGAGTCTCGTTTCAAACGGTGCTAGACCAGAGAACGCCAAAAGGGGAAAAACCTATTCTTATATTTTGGTACTGGTAAAGGAGGTCCCATGATGATGTACGTCATCATCTGCCTTGTACCACAGCTAATACTTCTGTCCAGTAACTATCTGTAACTAATACATCGTCAGTGCTACGGTGGACTGCATTGTTTATTGGCTGTTTTTTTTTCTTATAGAGTGAACGTATGACAATGTAAACAAATAAAATCAAGCCAGAGTATAAATTGCAAGCCTGCACTTAAATTGGCTCTCCTAGGAATTCAACTCGAAGCCATTGAATTATTAAATTGAATAAGACACTAGACAGGGCTGTCATATGTGTGTAAAAGGTGAACATAATGAGTTACACAATTTACAATTGTAATTTAAAACAATTCCATGAGATTTTAAATTACACTACAGTTTTTCTCATCTTGCCAATATACATGTTGGGCCATAGCATGGCTTGTACGGAGATCACACATTTACCTCTCGAGCAGATTCCACTCAGCCAAGCATAACTCTAGGAATGGCAAAATGGTCACCACCCTGGTGAGGCTGCACCAATTGGTAAGGATGTCAATAGTGGTTGCGCAGACAGATAGGTCTCTGTCATAGCACTGTGGAATTTCCCATTGACACAACAGTGGTCGTCATGCGGAGTTATATATTTTTTTGTCACGTGACAGACGGTGGGATTTTCAACCCTGGCATCCGTCTGCCAGTGAGGATGAACATGGGAACAATTTTACGTTTTATGTGTGCATTATAAGCATGCACTACTTGTCCATTTCACACGAATCCTCGTAGTTATTTCATTATGTGATAACTGTAACGATGCAAGGCGGCACAGCCAACTAATTTTATAGGTGAATAAAATTTCACGTGCGGCAGTTGGAATTTAAGTGGGTCGCTTACTGCAATATCTACAGTAGGGGACTCCCGTCCTTTCTCGTAAGTCTGGAACTTCTGATTGAGCTCCTGGAACATTTCTTGGTGTCTCTTGCGAGTGCGCATAATCTTCTGGCAAAAAAAGAGGGGGGAAAACCCAGATGGAAATGTAAACCTCGCCAACGTAAGACAGTTAAATAAAAGGAACATCTTTAAAATTGTCTGAATGCGTGTGGGGTGGGTTGGAATGACAGCATTCATAACAACATTCTGCCGGTCACACCAGCCGAGGTTTTGCTTAAAACGACATGAGTAATACTATACAGCAATATCTGGACCGCTCACACTGAACATGACTGTTCGTTTGTGAACGTTAAAATGCTTCTTAAAATGGACAATATGCTGGTGCTGTTCTGACAGTCATGGTAAATAATTTCAAATGGTACATGAGTTTCTCACACTATATATATGTGTACAAATGCATAAATAGTATATAAATGAATTGAAGGCTTGTATTACCTCCACATCTAATTCTGAATATCTGGACTTTCGTCTCTGAAACAACAAAAAGGTAACAAGAAGATTAAATGAACGCCATGTCTAAAATGTCATCACAGTTCATCACAATTATTCAGCACAAATATAATATTTACTTAATTGTTAAATGCATGCCTGTGGCCACTTCACTATACGAGGGGATGGCATTTCACGCAATCGCATGACACCCATCAGAAAAGGTTATCAGATGATCAGTGCACTGCAGTATATCAAGTAGGTTGCTGATCCAACTCTAGGGGATTTTAAGTATTATCCCCTCGTGTGTGTTAGTTTTCTCTGGGCTGTCATTCTTGATACATGCAAAATCTATTCAAAAGCAACTTGGATAAACCTCCTTAGCAGAACCCTCTAGATAAATATCGCATGATTGTCAAGGTAACAAAAATGCAACTTCTCCGTCGTCCTTACAGATAAAAATAACCGAACTTCCAAGTTATTTGCTCGATCCCATTTTGAATGCATGTAATATTTAAAATCACTTAGCAATTTGCTGTTACCTCTAAGGAGCTGATGGACACGGTTGAGCTGGTCTCGCTGCGCGGGGTGCCTCCCATCATTGCCTCCTTGCTCACTTTGGTCAAACTGTAATGCTTGGCCATTGGCCTTGACTCCAAGGGCACATTCTGATACTGGTGTTGCTGCTGCTGGTGCTGCATCTGCAGTGGCTGCTCCAGCCCAGCCATTCCGTACTGCTCCATGTCTGGGCCTCCCACACCCAGCGCCATGCCCTGGTCCATGCCCATGACGAGCCCCATGCGGCTCAAAGTGCCCTGGCCCATGAGGCCGACGCCCATGCCCATCACCTCCTGGTCTTTGAAGGTGACCGAGCTCCGTGGCAGGACCACATAGTCACTCTCGAGGGCGCGCTTCTCGGCGCTCGACAGCTCGACAGCCGCCACCGGCTGCTGCTGCTGCTGTGGCTGCAGCGGCGTCATCAGATCTCCGCCCTCGTAGAGGCCGCTGAGCGGCCGCCCGCCGCCGTCCCCCTCGATGCTCCAGGGTGGCTGCTCGGTGCCCAGGATGGGCGCCATGCCTATGGGGGACAGGTAGCCAGAGGGTCCCTGCAGCTGGATGTCTGGGATGGCGCAGCCCATGGGAATGGCAGGCCCACCGGGGATGGCCTGGAAGTCCTTCTTGTCGAGGATTTCCTCCTCCCGCACCGTCGCCCTCGTGAGGGGCCCTTTGGCGGACCTCCGGCAGGTGTTGATGTCTTTGTGGAGAACTGCATGCAATTAGGCTACATCAGTCTGCACGCGTCTGTACGCTATGAACGCTTAAGATCAGCATGCGTGTTTTAGAGATCTGCGATTAAATGTCACGGTGAAGTCTCTCGCGAGATTTCCGTTTAACGGCTGCATCTTAGCGGCGAGCGTAATAAAGGAATAAGTGCATAGGTGAGATGCCCTTTTCAGCATTTCAATAATATAACATGTACTTTTACTATTTTGAATCATCGTTTTGTCAATGGAATTCGTTTAAAGGATGCAAAAGCTTGAGAAGTTTATTTCACAGGTCACATCCAGTTGAGAAGTTCAAACTGGTCTAGGATTTCTATGTTTAAACAAATGCTAATATAATACAAAGGATCTGAAAGCCACGTATTGGTTGATGGAACAATAATGTGCAGCCTTTTGTCAATCCTTTCATGAATGAATGAGTTCCAACATCATGTTAATCATGAGAGATTGTGCAGATGGGTGGAGATCCAGAACCAGTTCAGATATTATTTGCCACTGATGTATTTAGTGGCCAGGATTTATGCAATGCTCTAACCACTGCGGGTCACTCTCTGCCACCCTCCCTATTTATGGCTTAAATGTGATTTTATTTCAGGCATGATGCAGATAATTTGCATTTATTCGTTATGTGTTATTTAAGCACTCACATGCCACTTTTGCTACGTATTTTTTATTATTATTTTGTCAGTGTGGATATCCTATCTCTGCATATTTGTTACAGTGTGTGTGTGTTCTTTTCACACGTACCTGATCTGCAGGCCATATCAACATCCTTTTCAAAATCAGACTGAAAAGAAAAATTGCCAGAGCAAATGTGTGAATGCGATTAGCTGCGACAATAACAACTTTACTGTGTTGCTAAACATTAAGAAGTGTAATGCGTGAAAGTGTTTCGTATGCATCAATTAACATGCTTACTTTACATGAACACTGAATCTAGTATAGCCTGTTAACAATGTAACCATCGCATTACGTATAGGGCTTTCTATATCGGGTGCCCTCATATATGCAATTGTTTAACATAATTACAGTCAAAGTGTCTCCCTGCTCAAAACAAGCATTGGGGCGGTGCTTATCTCCGTTGATGGCCCGAGCCAGGGGTGGTAATTCCATATTCCCATGGTGGGGGCCAGTCTCTCCATAGGACAACCACTGTCATCTTATTGCATGGCCTAATTTAAAGTTGATGGGCTGAGTTGACACCTGACCAGGGCATTGAAAATGCACCTCTCTCCGATTGAGTCGAGTGCTCTGGCAACTGCGCCACCCAGCTGCTGCAAGTATTTACGGTGCATGGCTTTTATTGTTTGTTTGGAAAAGCATTGGTGATGTTGCATTTTATATTGTGATCGTCCTCAAGGACAGTTGCTATCTTATACAAGATTCAAGAATGAGTGTTACTCGTACTTCTTTAGAGTGATGAATAGCAAAACCAAAAACAAAACTCCGTGCATTCAAAATAGCTTGAAAATGTGTTACGTCTAAATAACAGTTACCATGATCTGGACATGGCCATTGGGAAAGGACCCACTTGAATCTCCATTCACATGGTCCTGTGTGTCACCCAATCTGCATTTAAGGGCATCTTGCACCTGCAGACATTAATCGTGTGAGACTAGCATTTACCAGAATATTATTGTGCACAGTACTGTACTCGTAATTTGCATTTACGTTACAATGCAGTACAAGTCAAGTCAAAGTATCTGCCTGCTCGAACGAGCGGTGGTGCTCATTTCCATTCGTGGGCCAGAGCCAGTGGCAGAAAATACACATTTTCCTAAGACGGAGGCCAGTCTATCCACAGAATAACCACTCTCAAACTCCCATGTTGATGTGGTGCTCACGTTATTGACCCTGGAGGAATGCAAGGCTGGATCGACCCCAAAGTGAGATTTTAAATTATGACATTTCTATTGTATCTCAAATGCTCCGCTACATCGCCCCTCAGATGGATTTCTAAAGTTAATTAAAACATAAATTAGTTGCGTGCTATATGACAATGAGAAAATTTAACGTAACAAAAAGGTTAGCTCAACATAGTTACAATTCACAGATGTTGACTCCTTTCCCCTCTTTTGTCCAACAAGAAGCAGGGGGAGATTTACACGGCAGTGATTAAGAGTAAGCCCTGCCATATTATCTATTAAAATTATATCGCTAAGCAGGCTTACGTATGTAGCCTTGACAGGTGCTTAAAGAGTCACACCATCTCGCTTTGGCAATCTGCATAGTAAGAGCGTGTTAGGTCACTCATGCGTTTGCCTTGCCACCTGGTTTGTTTTACCCAGGGACCTGAATTTGGAAAAAGCCTGTTCTGTGCACTTGCTCGAAACTGATTCCATGGGCAAATATTTGACAGAAATTAAAAATCTGCAGAAAAAAAGTACTGACTCCCATTTACAAAATCTATTTAATCTTTTTTTGGATGTGGGGTTTCGTACAGCATTTTCCGATGAGAATGTTGTTTTTAAACGAATGCTACAGTTGATTTATTATTATTATTATATAGCATGTGTTTTTTGCATTTTTGTGCCGTAGATATAATTGTGAACGTTTACGCGTGATACGGTTTATAATTATTGAATCCCATTGGTATAGGAGATGACATGGAACAGAAATTAATTAAGAGGTGAAGATATATATATAAAACGGAATGCAAAATCTATTAAATAATCACGTATATTTAAAATGTAGATTTTTGGCTAGATCATGTTGGGATGTCCACCACCAAACAAAGCCAAACTAATCAAGTTGTCATTTTGGTTACATGTGGCAATGAATTCTGTTTTTCAGCAACCAGCATGTTCAACAGCAAGCCACATTGCTTGCGAATTGTGCTTGCTTTCCAACACGTCCATTTGCTGAGAAACTAAATCCATTAGCACGTTTTTTTTTACTTTGTCAGGTAGCCAAGTGCTACAGCTGGAAGTGACATTTAAACGATCTCATATTATAATTATTGTGAAACCCTATGAATCATATTGGCCGTGAAAACCTATGTATGAAACTATATAACCCTATTCATTTTAAATACCTTTTTTAAATGGCAGATAAATAACTACTTTGAAAGTTGGAATGGTCACGAGCGCAGGAGCTGGCCCTCATTATTTGTGCCTTACATTTTATTCTGCAAGTGACTTTACGAGCGTTGGTTAGAAGGCTGAACATTATTGAAACTAAAAATAATGTTTCTGGCCTTTGAATGGAGAAAGCTGTGGAGGATGCTTGGAATATCGTCGCAGAATATCAGGTGAGAAACTTGGAAGTTCGGAATAGAGTGTGGGGAAAAAAAGCATTGCAGACAAAATCAGGAGAGGAGGTTGCGATCGATGGAGCATGTGTCCAGTATGGGGGAGGGCAGCTTGCCAAGACAGGGACTGAGTGGGTGCTTAGAGGGCAGCAATCAGGGGGAAGGCCTTAGTTGTGTCAGAGTTGTGGCATCTAACAATGAATGAGGTGCCGGTAAGCTGCGGCACAATGCACAACATTGGCCGCAACTATCTTTTGATGTTGAGATCCTGAGATTGAATTCGTGTTCAGTTACTGCAGTACAATGTACTTAATTTGCAGGATTATTTGCAAATGTGCACCTGCATACAATTACTAAAGCGTACACGGCTTTGTGCTGTGCCGTACTCAATCATGCTATTCATGAACAGCTAAGCTTTAAATCGAAAAAAAAAGCTAAGTGGGCTTCAATTGATGACAATGGTGATGCTGCTTTAAAAGCATGCATTCATCACTGCAAATCTACAAGAGAGATAAATGAGTTCAACACGGCTAGATTACTCTTTGTTTCTTTCGGTAAAGTCACGTAGAAAGAGAAAATAATAAATAAAATAATAGCATAGCGTATGCTATTATTACATTTTGTATTCAATATATTTGATTATTTAATTTATTATTTTCTCTTTTCTACGTGACTCTACCGAAATAATCAAAGAGTAATTCCTGCAGTCACGAAAGCGCCAAATCAAGTTTGACGGCTAGATTACTTTAACTTTTAATGTTTTATCGTTCAGTCTTTCTCATTGCCCCCCTATTGATAGACTAATGCCCACTTGCATGCCAGTATTTCCATCACCGTGTGACATGCAGGGACAGCTGTCATTCGGGGGTGCCCTGGGCTTAAAGAAAATAAAACTGAAGCTGGGCACTAATGAATGTGGTGAGGTCTGCTGATGTGAGGCGCGCTGAGATGATTGGGCATTCAAGTGCACACAATGCAGTTCCTTCATATTGGCAACCTTTGATGGTGTGCTGTGAATTTATTTAAAATACAATTAGCAGGCATGCAATGCCCAGCAGCTCCAATGTTTATGCCGTGTGTCTGTATTGTGGTTAAATCCCCTCCTGCTGTAAACTGTATTTGCAAAACGAGATGAAACGGGCATTTTCAACCAAACTCCTTTCAGCATAATACAGCGAGCTTCTCCAAAGAGCTCCAAACTAGGCTGCCAAAAAACTACAAAGGAAAATTGTAATTATGTCACCGTATGAATTATTTATAGGAATATATATTATTGCATTCATTGATGGTACAAATTAGCATGTGCTACAAATGGCACAATCGGGAACCATATATCATACACATATAGAGATAAAAAAAAGTATATAACATAGTTTATGTAATCTGGCCAGGTGGAGCTGCAGTTAGAGTGTTCAACTTGCAATGGGAATTCACTTGGCTCATCATCCCTCTGGGGTCGATAAAGTGAGTACTCATTTGTGGTAGTTCTTATGGAGATTCAGGCTCTGGTCATTTAATTGAGGAATGTCCAATAGCATCACCACGACCACCTCCATTGCCCGATTGTTTGTTTGAACAGGGAAACACTTTGACTTGACTGAATAGAGCTTAAATAATGTACAGCAGCAAATTAGTATAATTCATGAGATTGATGAACAAGACAATTATGATGATAGTGATTCTGCTGATATTGCAACTGATCATGGTGCTGATGCTGGTCACGGTGATGATGATATGACGTTAATGTTATGATGCTGATGATGACAGTGACAAGACACTGATTTTGTTGACCATGATGATGATGCAGATGATGCAGATGGTGTAGATGATGCAGATGGTGTAGATGATGCTGATGATGATCCTAGGGCCGAAGCTGATGGCGACACTGCTGCACGACCCGGAGTGCGGTTGCACACCTCCTTCCGAAGCACGCAGTGCACAATGACGATGACGAAGCCCTGCAGCGAGTCGAAGACGGCGAAGAGGATCTGAAAGAGCGGCGAGCGGCGGTCGGTGATAGCCAGCACGGCCGACATCCAGGTGAGAGCGAGCAGTGGCAGCACCACGCACGAGCTCCACAGGGAGGCCCTGCGCACACGCACGTATGCAAACACACGCGCGCACGCACACATACACGCGTGCATGCACGCGCACGCACACATGCACACGCAGACACACACGCAAGCATGCACGTAAGCATGCGCGTGCAAGCGCACACACGTGTGTACATATGCACACACGCGTCCACCAATACAGGTGTGAGATAGGCTACGTTTGTATGGTTCGGTAAATCACTTAAAGACTTCGAGCAGCGTTGTTCAATCAGTGTTGGGGCGAGGCTTAAGCAAACTAAGCATATTCTTAGGGCCCCAAGTGGCCGCGTGCTCATTGGGAAACCATAGAGGTGCATCAAATATCAGTTTAAATCCAAACTGCTAATGCATTTAAAACGGGCTGATAAGGTCCACTCTCATCACATCGCACTTATTTCACAACAAATCTATTTTAGCTTGCATTTTCGTCTCGCTCTCGTCTACATCTCTTCGATCATCTCACTGGGAGTTTATGAACAGAAATGTTTTGCTTCGTCGCCCCCAATAGATTTGCAACTCTCAATGTGTTCAGTGCAGCGGTCCTGTTGCCAGTCACCCCCCCCATCTCCCCTTTGCTCCACCGACTAACTGGAAGACGTAAGCCGAAACACACAAAAAACCCATCGGGTTCTATTTCACTTTAACATTAAAGTAATTTTGATCGATCCGTAAGTCACGTGGCGGTTGCCGTTTCTTTAAATAGAAAACTCGTTTCACCTCTGGAATCCCGGTTCGTGGCTACACAGAGCGGAGCACCGCCCGTTGAGTATTTTTTGGTGGGGGTTTAAATCCCCCGTCTGTAATCTGAGCTGCGTCGACGTATATTGAGGCTTGCACTGCGCACCACGAGTTAGCTGGGGGCAGTAGGGGTCCCCCACCTCGTGAATGGAGGTGAAAGCACTCGAGTGTAGGGGGCCGTGGAGGTGAGAGTTGAGGCTGCACGGATACCTCATTGTGCAATTGTATGGTGCACATCTGTGTGAGCTTGGTTGTTTTTGTATCCGCGTGTACGTTTCCCCATGTGCACATTAAACTCATAGTAATGTAATGCACGTCAGGCAAGCTCGTCCCAGTGATGGCACGAGAAGGGGCTACGGTGGTGTGCCTCCAAGTAGCATTTTCATATTACAGTAATGATATGTCATACAGATCAGTTCGCACAGCCGAGGAAATGTTATGAACGTACAAAATAACAGCTAATTGTTTAATTGGCTCCATATCTTTAACTGCCTACTCACCTATCCACCCATCGTGCCCCCCCCCCCGCCCCAAGTTACTTCTGTGTCTGGCCCAATCTGTGGAGACAATGTTTCTCAGATTGCGTGGGCTTGTACTGCAAGAGCGTGCTATTGATGAGTGATCTTGGCACGATTTCACTGTGGCTGTTTTGTTGTTGTTGTTGAGAGAACAACCACGAATGCAATTGATGATAATCAAGTTTAATGAATGTTCCATTCACTGCAATGTATAACTAAGAAAGCAAAGTCAAAAATTGCATCGCTTCTCCAACAACAATTGGGGCAGCTCTCGTCTGCTTCGGTGGCCCTGAGTGGTAGAAATTCTACGTGCCTGTAGAATAGGCCAGTCTATCCATTACAACCATCATTGACTTGCCACAAATTGCAAAGTCAACGGTGAAGATGATGGTTATTAATGTGTAATGCAGTTAATAATAGTGGATTAAGTGACATGTGTCTTTTAATGATATAGGGTATTCAATTAGCCGTTTTGTCATTTGTTTTATTATATAAGAAATGCAGTTTCACATTTGACTGCATGGCACTTTTAGACGAACGAACGCACACACTTTGTTTCCGTTCACGCTGCCTTTATATGGAACTACTCTACAGATAAGTGCAATGCGCTTTCGTGGTCACGCTACATTCGGATGATGTGCTTTACCACTATGTGATGAGAGCAGATATCAAGTCTAATTTAAAGACAGTTGTGTTAAATAAATATGTATGCTACAGAACAGTACGTGATTTTTTTTAAATATTTTAATGTCTGAGTTATCGATATGCGATGTTGTGGTCTACCTTGGTACAATCAAACACACGCGTTTTGCATTTGAAATCTCCCGTTATAATTGTTTTAATGTATTTTGACCTTGAATTCCCATTTCTATATATAGTCGAGAGAGAGCTCCTTCTCAATGTGCGTTGATGTTTAATTTCTGGTCAACAAATTATTTGGCGATGCTGCTGCTGCGTTGGCAGCGGTGCACAAGCACAATTAACGCTCCCTTAAATAATACTGCCTTACAACAAAAAAAGACATATAAAACATTCGGACACTAATCTATTAAGAAGAGACATTGCCCAAAATTGTGGCCCATTATTTTTTTTGTTTAATGCAGCATTATTGACAAATGTGTCAAGTTTTTTTTTATTTGTTAAATTCTTTATATAGAGGATTACAGATCCAGTGTTTTTTGAAGGTTTATCACTGTCTTCAAACAGATTATAACATTCACTACGCTTGCAATGTCTTGATCATGTTTAGTAGTGAGCGCTATAAAAGGCATCATGTTATTTGCATCTTGATATCTGAATTCAACATACACCCGTATAACCCATATTGACATTGCGTAATACATGTATATACAATGGGCCAATGTTCGAACCCGAGTGTGGACCTGTATATGAAAACCACTTTCCTAGTTGTACGTGCTGTCCTACATTGATTGTCTTTTCTCAAAGCCTCGTGAGGTGTGCCGAGTAGATCCTTTAAAACACATGCTGATTAAAATGCATTCACTAAAACCCTCGGGCTAAATCACATGTGAATTGCGGGAGACTGGCATACAAAATATGGACTTGAGGTTAATAAACAAGGCCCTATACAAACGTACTGGGTCTTTGTTTAGCCTTATCGTTTGCATGATTACTATTATCAGTCTGTACACGTACCAGCCACAATGCTTTGCAGGTCAGTGTCTGTTTAATGAGGCTGTTTAATATTGAAATTCACTATTGTGCACACGTGCCGAGACAGCTCTACAACTGCCTACGATAAGCCAGTCAGTAAAGTTTACCTTGATCGTATGCATACGCATGCTGCACATGTACATACGCTCGTGCATTGAGATGATACGATAATTAATTTGCATGCTCGCACATTGCAGACTGACATTATGCTCAAGGTTGTGATTGCAACATTGCTACAGATGTGCTGCCACACCTCAGATGTGTGACGCGGTTGTCTTTCTGAAACGGGGCTGTGTTGGAACACAGACTTATAGATTTAGGAGTGACCCTTTCAAATACATCTGCCAAGAATGCACATTCGGTTCCTGCTTTAACTAACACGTGAGAATTGTGGCTGTCGCTGTGCCATGGCCATGGGTGATGGAAAGCTTTGCGCCACAGGAGCAAGGCTTACAGCAGGCTCTCCATGCCGACAGCGTTTGTAATTTACTTAATTGGCTTCCTTGGGTCCGTTGATTTCCAGCAAATAATTGAGAACAAATCACTGCTATTTTAGCTTTAATGATGCAGCACAATGTCGTGATTAACAAAGAGAACCAGCTCAGATTTCCCAGTTCCGACTTGGTCAATTATATGAACACTTGCATAGCTGAGATAATTATCAAGAGCTTTTTGAAGCCTATTAGCGAATCTTGCACTTTGTATTCAAATACAGATATTGACAAGAATGTTGTCTCTCTCGCCGTGTACCAGTATCTGCAGTGGATAGGTACATTAGTTGGAGTTTGTTGGGCATGTCTATTGGATAAAACGAGACACTGCACCAGTGGGTAGATATATTCATCTTCTTGGTTCTTTCGGTAAAGTCACGTAGAAGGGAAGCAATAAAATAATAAAAATTAAACATAATAAAATAAAATAATTCTCACGACGTTTCGGCCACAACGCAAGCAGCCGTCCTCAGGTGAAGAATGAGACATTACCAAGCTAGGAGCTAATATATACGCTGCGTTGGAGGTGCAAGAGTGCCTTAACAAAAAGAATGTGCATATGAAGAGGAATTTAGCATATTCATGGGAAATGCGTAGGAGGTGGGTGGGGGGGGTTTCATAGTCATATTATGCCCATGCATTATGCAGGATCAACAGCACCAAGGGGGGGTGCAGTAGCATTAACAAAGGAAAAGAATGTTAATAGTATGTAGCTGCAGTTACTAAACAACAACGTAGAAAACTAAAGTATAAACTACATAAAAAACTAAAGTATAAACTGCATAGCACCATCAGTATACTTACTATACTCTACAATAAGCTGACTTACTAACAACAAGTAATACATTACAATTCTACGTCATAAAATAATAATAATATGCTTCCATCTAAACTTTATTCTCTTACATCACACGAGCATACACCGTACTATATACTGCCATAGATAAACCCAACATTAAATTATATACTGTATTGCTATAAACCACCCTATACCTTATACATTTTAATATAACACTATGTATTATTCTACTCACCCTAATGTGTATCACACTGCTATATGTTTACTATACAATTACGATACTATATATTACTTTGTACATTGTATTAAGCATATAAATGTTATACTATTTGTTATTTTACGCTGTACCATTGACCGTCGTATCAATGGGTGAGTCGTGGGGGGGAAACTTGCAGCGGAGCAAAGAATCCATTCCCTGCGGAGAATACAATGCCAGTGAGTGGAACGCGGTCTGAAAGTCACCGTAAACGTGAACACAATCAGTTAAGATCCGAAATGGTTTATTACGTCCTTCCAATGATTGCTAAGCCAGAATCCATCTTCTCGGTTAAAATTGTCTCTGTGTTTGTATGTGGATCGCCTCATGAACGAATCTCTCATGATAGCCAGATGGCTTGCAGAGAACCTCTGTCTTGGAGAAGTCAATGTCATGTGAGCCCACTGAGTTGTAACAGTGATCTGCCACGGCTGAGGTGTTTGTCCTACCGTGTTTCAAGTCCGCTTTATGTTCACGGATGCGGTCCGAGACATGTCGTTTGGTTTCCCCAATGTAACTGCTACCACAGAGGCAACTTAGTTTGTAGACGCCAGGGTACTGTATGTCTGGAACCACATATTTTACAGACGGTACCAGATCACGGATTTTATGTACTGTGTTGAATCGGACCTGGATCTTGTGTTTAATCAGGATTTTGGAGATCTTTTTTGTGACCCCAGCAATGTAGGGTAAGGTGATGGTCTTGAAAGGCTCCTCAACAGGATCCTTCTTGATGGTTGGAGTGATGGCTTTGCGGATTGTGTAGTCGGAGTAACCATTAGCCTTAAGAGCTTGGCGTACGTGTTTGAGTTGGACAAACACCTCAGCCGTGGCAGATCACTGTTACAACTCAGTGGGCTCACATGACATTGACTTCTCCAAGACAGAGGTTCTCTGCAAGCCATCTGGCTATCATGAGAGATTCGTTCATGAGGCGATCCACATATACAAACACAGAGACAATTTTAACCGAGAAGATGGATTCTGGCTTAGCAATCATTGGAAGGACGTAATAAACCATTTCGGATCTTAACTGATTGTGTTCACGTTTACGGTGACTTTCAGACCGCGTTCCACTCACTGGCATTGTATTCTCCGCAGGGAATGGATTCTTTGCTCCGCTGCAAGTTTCCCCCCCCCACGACTCACCCATTGATACGACGGTCAATGGTACAGCGTATAATAACAAATAGTATAACATTTATATGCTTAATACAATGTACAAAGTAATATATAGTATCGTAATTGTATAGTAAACATATAGCAGTGTGATACACATTAGGGTGAGTAGAATAATACATAGTGTTATATTAAAATGTATAAGGTGGTTTATAGCAATACAGTATATAATTTAATGTTGGGTTTATCTATGGCAGTATATAGTACGGTGTATGCTCGTGTGATGTAAGAGAATAAAGTTTAGATGGAAGCATATATTTTTTTTTTTACGACGTAGAATTGTAATGTATTACTTGTTGTTAGTAAGTCAGCTTATTGTAGAGTATAGTAAGTATACTGATGGTGCTATGCAGTTTATACTTTAGTTTTTTATGTAGTTTATACTTTAGTTTTCTACGTTGTTGTTTAGTAACTGCAGCTACATACTATTAACATTCTTTTCCTTTGTTAATGCTACTGCACCCCCCCTTGGTGCTGTTGATCCTGCATAATGCATGGGCATAATATGACTATGAAACCCCCCCCCACCCACCTCCTACGCATTTCCCATGAATATGCTAAATTCCTCTTCATATGCACATTCTTTTTGTTAAGGCGCTCTTGCACCTCCAACGCAGCGTATATATTAGCTCCTAGCTTGGTAATGTCTCATTCTTCACCTGAGGACGGCTGCTTGCGTTGTGGCCGAAACGTCGTGAGAATTATTTTATTTTATTATGTTTTATTTTTATTATTTTATTGCTTCCCTTCTACGTGACTTTACCGAAAGAACCAAGAAGATGGATCCCCGCAGTCACGAAAGCTTTAAATCGAAAGGTAGATATATTATCACATTCTAAAATCGTATTACAGAGTTGGTCTGCTCAAATTAGCCACCGTGGTTGCGTTGAAATGTCGCTGTTCACCATGTGCCACAGGTGTAAATTCCAAGATCCAATGGTGGGGGCAGTCTGTACTTGGATGAGTACTGTGTACTTCCTACAGAGTGCCACTTATTCTATTGACCCGAGAAGATATGTGGAAGATAGGTTGAGTTTACCCTGACTGGTAATTTAACTTACAACCTTCCAATATCTTCTTGGTTCTTTCGGTAAAGTCACGTAGAAGGGAAATAATAAAATAATAAAAATAAAACATAATACAATAAAAATTCTCACGACGTTTCGGCCACAACGCAAGCAGCCGTCCTCAGGTGAAGAACAGGGCTGTCGAAAAGACAGCGTCCGGACGCTGTCTTTCGAGTAATGTGTTCGGACGCTGTCTTTCCAACAGCCCTGTTCTTAACCTGAGGATGGCTGGTAAATGAGGTCTCATATATACTATGAGACCTCATTTACCAGTGGCAAAATATAGTAATAGGTTTTTACCCTTTCAATTGGTACAAAACTGATACATTTATACAAGGCATCACGTAGAATGGAAATAATAAAATAATAAAAATAATAAAATAATATAACAATTCTCACGACGTTTCGGTCACAACGCAAGCAGCCGTCCTCAGATGAAGAACAGGTCTGTCGGAATAACAGCGTCCTTCACCCACCATCGTGAGAATTGTATTTTATTATGTTTTATTTTTATCATGTTATTATTTCCCTTCTACGTGACTTTACCGAAATAACCAAGAAGATGAATCCCTGCAGTCACGAAAGCTTTAAATCGAAACCGTTCAATAGCCATGCACTCTAGACACAACACTAACCAGTTATTAATTGTATTATACCCAGATATACTAGTGTCTGATCATTTATCTACAGTATGCGTTTTCAACTTGGGAAAAGGATTATGTGTTGTCCGATATTAATGTGGTGTACTTGACTTTTGTCTGGGTTACAAACACGTGACTCTAGAAAGCTGGACAAAACGATTGAGAACAACATTTCTCGTTTACATACATATATAAAAAAAACAAAATTAAAGGCATGCAACTGATAAAAGCGTAAAATACAAAATGACAAAAAACAGAAATGACATAAATGCAAGGTCACGAACATGGCGTTGCTGGCAGTTGAAGTCGACAAGGCAGACGCAGACACAACGCCACACTTGGAGCATTTAAGTGTCAAACCATTTTGAGGCAGAGTCATGGGACTGTAAACAAATGCAAAACCAACGCAGAACATGTTGAGCAGCCAAACCAGACAGACACAAGTATATTCGTTTACACATGGGGGGGGCCTGGCCATTGCCAACATTTTAATCGCTCTTCTGCTGCAATGCAGCGGCAGAGCATCTTCTTTCACAGCATAATGGCAGACTTTCAGCGCAACGTGAACATAGTTTTTCCGTTTGGCTCAATCGAGGCAGATGGCGTTCATGTTATACGCCAGTCAACAAATCCACCCACTTTCTGCTCTTAAGAGCGGTCATTGCCCAAAAATGTTATTCCACCGCATATGCTGATGGCATAAAAAAAGGAATTAATGACAAGGGTGGTGTGAGTTGTACTGATTTGAGCTTGTAGACCACAGCCAAAACATCAAGGTGGTTAATGTTGCTTGTAGGCAGTTTGCACGGGTTCATTGGTTTGGATCCCATCACTGCGCCATCAGAAATATTGGGTATTAACCAAGCTCGCCACCGTTAATTGGATATTAATGACCGCATGATGGCATTAAATACAGTCGTCATGGTCCAAATGGCAAATGTGAAAATCCCACGTCGATAAATTATTGATAATGACTAATAATGAATAATAATGATCCCGAACACTCATCTGGCCCGCTCTTGTAAAATAGATCATGAATCTCAATGGGCTGTCACCTGCTTCTAAATAAAGGAAATGCTGTGACTCATGCGGAGTCATGACAACGGTTGCCCTAGCAGACATTGCCTCAATGCAAACACAGGCTCGTGCGCAAGCCACTTTTGGGGGGGTTGCAAAGAAATGATTAACAAGGCCTGCCCACGTGGAAACGAAGGGGGTACTAAGTATCTCTGTAATCAGTCGGCAGATGATATCGTTAGAGGAGATGCCCCGCAGAAATGTGAGTGCCGCGCGACTCCACACACGTGGCAGATTGTGTTTGCAAGCATTCCAATCGCTGTGCAGATTTCCACATTCGCTTGTCACTCGTCGGCTGATTACAGCTATGTATTATGCAGCACACAAGGTCAGCCGAGGCACGTTTAAATGACTGCAAATTCAAAAAACGAAAAATGATTGATCTGGTATATACAATTATACGTTTGCATGCATGGGGTTAAACAAAGTATAAAATGTGTGTGTAATACGCATGCGGACGTCCGACATGTATACCAAAGGGACATGCATTTTCACACTGCATGCATATCTATGCATAACCCACCCAGCCCTGTGCTTCAGCCTCTTGTCGGGTATTCCTTCTTTGGACACAAGCTTGTTAAAGACCAAAATCCCAATGACCATGTTAACCTGTTGGATTCACAGGGAGGAAGGTGGTTAGAGAGGATATGGCATTGAAACAAGTGCAGCGACATAGACATAGAACGGGTCACTACAGCGCGGAGCGCAGCGCTGGTTACTCTTACTGACAGAGACAGGACATGTGGGCGTAACGACCGACCTGCCGGCAGAGCAGGGTGTAGCAGCCCTTCTGCCAGCAGAGCATGCAATGCCACGGAGTGGCATTGGCTGCTGGCAGAAGGGGGCATATGAGGACAGGGCACCCCGGCCGGTTGGTGGAGCACGTGATAGGCTGGGGTCAAGGATGTGGGGCAAAGGTGACCGAGGGGACACGTGAGATATAGCCCAGAACCTTCTGGTGGGTTCCAGAAGGGGGCGTAGCCAAGGGCGGAGCCAGGCAGGGGACACGTGGAAGGTGGCCCAGAACCTTTTGGTAGGTGCCAGAAGGGGGCGTGGCTGAGGGCGGAGCCAGGCCACGCCAGGGCGCATAAAAAGGAAGTCTCGAGCCTGGATAAGGGCTGTCTGTCGGTGGAATGGAACCCAAGGTGCTAGGTCTTCATTTTCGTCTCCGGCGTTGTGGGTCGACAGCGTGCCGGCTGTTCTAACTAATTTATAGTTATCCCGAGTTTGAACAGTATTCAAAGGTGTAGAATCAACGTGTGTTGCCTCCTACTATTCGGGTCTCAGAAGTGACTCACTACACAAGTATGAAAACATAGGTAATGTTTCACATGCAGATTATACGACGGAATTGTATCGTGAAGGTTTCTGAATTAATCATTTGAAAATAAAGTGACTGTTATGAATGTGACTTGCAGATCACTCGTATGTCTCTTTACCAGAACAACCATTGCTGCAGGGCCAACAAATGCGTACAGGAGGCCACCTTCCAAAGACAACCAGCAGCTTAGGGGAGAAAAAAACAAATATCAATGAATAAACAGATGACGGATCATGAGGTCAAAGAGGCACACAGTCAAAGTGTGACCCCATTCTAAGTTGAGCATCATTCAGTATTAGGCCTACTCATTCATGACTTCAAACTTTCTGACTGCAGGAATTCATATTCTTTGGTTCTTTCGGTAAAGTCACGTAGATAGAAAAATAAAGTGATTAAAATGATTTTTAAAGAAATCACCATTTAATGTAAACTGTAGCCTGGTTCTTAATCGGAGTGAGTGTACTGGCAGTCTATAATGTAGACTGTAGCCTGGTTAGTAAGTTTGGAGAGTGTACTAGCAGTCTATAGTGTAGACTGTAGTAATGGTTATTAAGCTGGGTGAGTGTACTGGCAGTTTTTAATATACACTCACCGAGGTTAAGAACCAAGCTACAGTCTACATTAATGTTTTTTTAGTTTTATATTATTTTAATTTTATTTTTATTCACTAAATTTGTATTTTTATATCTACGTTACTTTACCGAAAGAACCAAAGAATACTACTCATTCTTGTGGGCAGCCCTGAGCTGGTGGTGAAAACTCCACATTACTAGGGTGAGTGGAGGTCTGTTTGACTTCCCTGGCTGGGGGTGAGGGGGTTAAACGCAGACTAATATAAAGGACCAAAGAGTAATGACATCATTGTTCGTGTAATACTTCATGTCACAACACTGTCCAAGACAATGGCAATAAATATAGCCTAGTATTGTAACTCACTTACTTGTGAGTCAAGTACTGTTACAGTGCACCTTTGGATGGACTATATTTTTCATTGTACTCAGCAATAATTGAAAATTAAATACTTTCAGTATGAATATCCATTTTAACGACAAGAGATGGGAAGTATTTTCATAGTATGTTATGTAGTAGTAGTTGCCTTATTGCAAAGATTGTCCCTGCTATAGAAATATGGAGCATCTGCCACTGACTTGACCCCTTTGGCCACTAGCGACATGAACACTGCCCCTTGAGGAAACACCTTGACCTTTGAACAAATGACATTTGTATTCATACACATTGCATGTAACATTATACAGTCCGTCATGCATTATGCAGTAACTCTTTACCACATGCTCTCCATGTGACTTTCCCTGTCAGATTTTTTAAATCTTTTCAACTACTGTTATTATTGTCGCAGAGTTAGTTTTATGGTTTGATAAAGCATGATGTATATGGTTTCATGGTGGTAATGCGTACTCTGTAATCTCATAAGGAAGATTCAAAAACATTTTCTGCTACCCATGTGCACTATTAAAATATTTACTCCGATGCATGTGTATGATGTTGGCATTTCTATTTGAACAATGCTAAAGAAAATCTCTTATTTGCATTCATTTCTAAATATAATTTAGCGTCTATGTACATCCCATATGGAATGGCGATGCAGTGTGGTTATATGGCCTTTGCATTTTAATAGTGGGATAGAGAATGTAAAGCCCTTGGCTGAAGGCCGTGACTTACTAAGAGGCTGTACCGTAACCTTTGGCCTTGGTGAAGCCAATCGATATTGCCACCACCAGTGCTGGAAGTCCTGCAAAACCATGAAAAAATATGTTAATTGTGAGTGCTGTAGTATACAGGGTTGTTTTATAAATAGACTGGCCAATACCAGAGGAATGTGGAGTTTCCATTACTGGCCATGACCACCAACAATGCAATAATCACCCCGCAATGCTCGTTTGAACATGGAGGCACGTCAACTTTTTTGTTTAATATCACTGTGTAACAATTAAAAAAAATCATGGGTAGTAAGTGTTGTTATTTCCTAATTGCTTATGCCTCAAAAGTACAGAAAATGACTATTATTCCCCACAAACTTTGCTTTTGTGACCAAGACATTGATATTTTTATTTTATTTCTATTTTCCAGAACATTCCAGATAGATTCAGTGCTGAGTAAACTTGGAGTAACTTCTAGAACATTCTGAAACTTTCCAGTAATATAATTAGGAGTATAAATACAGGGGCCTTAAGCCCATCAGTTCAGTTTAGTTCCAGCTGCCTAAGTGGATACATATCTGCATTTTTCTGAGATGGCATCAAGAGGCTGCAAGCATCCGGCAGACGCATTTTGCTATGTCTACGGCCAATTTATGAAGACAAGAGCGAAAAAGTACTCTATGGAAGCATCTGCTAAGATGTGTGAGGCCTACAAGGCATATTTCAGCATGCCTGTCAGGGATCCAGACAAACCCTGGGCTTCTTATTTCACCTGCGAGCAATGCAAAAAAAACTCTGGAAGGTAAGATGGACAATTGTTGCTTGGAACTTTCTTTTTGTGTTAAAATGTTTAAAATTGTAAAAGTTTTCATTTTAAAATGTTTAACAATTTTCAATGTTATTGAAAAAATATGTATATATATCATGTATGAAAAAATGTTGCGAGAATCTCTTACACATTAGTCATGGGTGAAATAAATGTATTTTTGTAGGATGGTAGAGAGGGGAAAAGAGAGCCATGAAGTTCGCTATCCCAAGAATTTGGTGGGATCCTACTGACCACTCAAGCAACTGCGACATCTGCGTGGTGGACCCTTCCAAACGTCGGACTGGTAAGAATGCACCTGCTATCACGCATCTGGTCCTTCCTTCATCCATCACCCTGGTGCCACATTGCCATGAACTCCACGTACCCACTCCTCCGGAGAGAGAGCAGACATCTTTCGAAGAGAGCAGCAAGTCAGAGAGAGAGAAAGACGTTGTAGATCCAGATGACAATTTCAGAAGGTGGAGCTGAGGAGAGAAACCCATACTATCCCAACCAAAAAGACCTCAACGACTTGATCAGAGATCTTGATCTCACCAAGTCCAATGCCGAGCTTTTGACGTCCAGGCTCAAGCATCAGAACTTGTTGGATGAAAGTGTGCAAGTCGCAGATCAGAGGAAGCATCACCAACCTTTTTGCAGCTTCTTCACACGTCAAGATGGGCTCTACTTCTGCCAAAATGTGACCAGTTTGTTCGAGGCAATCGGAATCGCCTGTAACCAGAATGAGTGGCGTCTCTTCATTGACAGCTCATCCAGGAGCCTCAAAGCGTGCTGTTCCATAATGGTAACAAGTACCCATCTCTTCCCCTGGTTCACTCGGCGCACCTCAAAGAGGATTACAACAGCATCAAGACCTTGCCTGACGTCTTGAAGTATGATGAGTACGGCTGGGAGGTCATCGGAGACTTCAAAATGGTGGCATTCCTGATGGGTCTCCAAGGCGGTTTTACCAAGTTTCCCTGCTATCTTTGACTTTGGGACAGCAGGGACACCAAGGTGCACTACCACAGGTGGGACTGGCGACAGCGGACCGAGTTCTCTGTGGGGAGGAACAACGTCAAGTGGGAGCCACTGGTGGACCCCCAGAAGGTGCTGAAGCCACCACTGCACATCAAGTTGGGCCTTATGTCAGAGCTGTAGATAAGGAGTCGGCAGCCTTCAAGTACCTTCAAGACTTATTCCCTAAGCTGTCTGAGGCAAAGGTCAAAGCCACTGTCTTCGTCCGACCATAGATAAAGAATATCCTGGAGTGCAATGAATTCCCCACGAAGCTCACTAGTAAGGAGAAAGCAGCTTGGGACAGCTTTGTCGCAGTGGTTAGTTGCTTCTTGGGCAATCACATGGTCGAAAACTACGTGGAGCTGGTTGAGAATCTGGTGAAGAACTATGGCACAATGGGCTGTAGGATGTCCCTCAAAGTCCATATCCTGGATGCTCATCTTGATAAATTCAAGGAAAACATGGGAGCGTACTCGGAGGAGCAAGGCGAGCGCTTCCACCAGGATATACTGGTCCTTTGAATGCCGCTACCAAGGATATTATAACGAGAACATGATGGGAGACTACATTTGGGGGCTGATTTGTGAAAGTGATTTACAGTATAATCGTAAATCTCTAAAAACTACTCCCAAATATTTTGTTTAAATTTTTGTACTGCTTTAGTAGATTTTTTTTATGTCAACGAAAAGACACAAATTCATCGTTTTCTGATTGAAAATTGGTAAATTTCTAAATATTACTGTCCTGGTCACAAAAGCTAAGTTTGTGGGGAATAATATAAATTTTCTATACTTATTAGGCATAAGCAGTTACGAAATAACACTTACTACTCATGCACAAGAAGTGTGTTACATAGTGTATTCGTATGTAATATTATGAACGGTTATCTCTGCAGAATTAATCAAATAGATTCCTCAGCATACATAAAAAATATATATACTGTGACTAAATCTGAATGTAGATGAGAGTTATATGCCATTGCAGGCATTGGTCGGTTGCCGTGCTGCGTCCCCGTTTAATATTTGGAGCGGCGGTCAAGCTGTGAAGATAATCTCCTCCCACGGTACACAGTGGTGCAGTTCACTTGAGTTTAACATCGCTATGCTCTCTGTGAGCTGGGTACAACTTCTTCAAACATTGCGCTGGACCTGGGAACATTAATAACCGACAGTGTCACAAATAGGGGACGAATTAATTTTAAAAATGTCCATTTGGACATTGAGTGCTTACAAGCTTAAAGCCAAGCAATGTTCCACGGCATGACGACTACTTTTGTACACATGCCACGTACACGTGTGAGATGACAACTCTACCTACCGGAAATCTGTGAACAAGAGCTTCATATGTCATCGGATTATTCCAGTCTCAATACAGAGTCTGACTGATTCTAATGATTGTGGCTGAAAAGCCAAGTGCCCTCTCCTATTAAATTGCAACTAATGCTGCACGCACAGATGCACTTAATAAACTATATATATATGAATAAAATAGATCACGACGTTTCGGGCGCTTGTGTTGCGCCCGGAACGTCGTGATCTATTTTATTTTATACCTACGTGACTTTACCGAAAGAACCAAAGAGTATGGATTCCTGTAGTCACGAAAGCTTCAAATCAAGATTATATATATGAAATTACCAGGTAGAGCTCACTGAGCTATACATCTCTTTTTCAGAAGAAGCTTGGTTACAAATGATAGCTCAGCGCAGTGGCTTACCATGTGAAAATTTACAGCATCAAAATACTCTACATGGATGTTTCTAAATTTGGAGGGAAAAACGAGACCGGGAGAAAAATCCACGCGACCACGGGGAGAACATGCAAACTCCAAATATACAGCAGCAGGCGTCAGGGTCGGGATCGAACCCACAACCTCTTGCATACTAGGCGAGGGAGACAACATCTCGCCACCGCGGCACACAGACATGGTAGGAGCTAAAAGAGATTCAAGTTTGCAGAAGGCTGTTAGTCTCAGACACGTCTGCAAATAACAGTGAAGTACATACGGCCAGTACGGCTAAATGATGAGGCAACTTCACGTCCCAGGGCTGAGTGGGGTTCTGATTAATTCACATTCAATTTACACCAGGCAATTGCTGCAAACACTGCATTAAAAAAGCTGATAAGCTGAGCAATGTTGAAAATGTCCGTAGGCTGCAGTATCCCCCAGATAAAGTATGTTCAGCAGATGCTGTGATTGAGTGTAAAGGGGAATAATTGTTTCGGATTAAAAATAAACGCCATTAGTGGCATATTCAACTGTGGCACACATGCATATACTCACGTCATTTTCCTCAAATTGGTTTGGGGAGATTACATATTTAGGAATTATATGTTGCATCACATATAGGACTATTTTTTTTAAAGTACCGTTTTAGTTTGTGAAAGCAAATAGGCATAGCAGCTTTTGTTAGAAACATACAGAAGCACAACTGTTCACGTGTATAGTTGCATGTTATTAAACGGATGACAGTTATGTATGGTAAACTACGTGTTTCTTCTGTATAAATCTGACACTGTAACTAACAGGATGAGCGAACATAACAGGAGCCTTTCCTGCTGCACAAATAAAATAATATCTTGATCTTTGAGGCAAATCGATCGCCTTGAATGAAGAAGAATATGGTTTAGAGTGAGAGAAATTGTCTGAGAGATTGGTGGACTTTAGCTGTCATAACCTATGAGTAAAGCTGGCCACTACCTTCAGACTGTGAGACTTCCATCATTGGCGGAGGATCGTTTGATCATCAATACACTCACGTAGCCTTGGCTTTGTCCGTAACAATAATATATTTTTCATACGCCGGAGACATTTCATAGTGGTTACATACGATAAGTAACTTACATCACGAACATATGAATCGGCACCCCAAGTGGCAGCTGTTCCTGTGTGGCACAAAGTTACTCAGCACCTGGCTTGCAAGCGGGCATTAGTCTTCCAGTAGGGGGCGATGATTGCTGCTTCCTGTCCATTCCCTACCCTTTTAGATCTCTATCGCGGTCACTTATTCCTCAATCCTTGCACACTCCTGCCATCTAAATCATTCGAATCTGTCACAGTTTTTTTTCTCTCTTTCAATTATGTCAAGCACCGTGAGTGAAGGCGCTCGATAAATATAAAATAATACAGGATTCAAAGAAGCGAGCGAGCCTTGGTTGTTGATGGGGGATATCAGTGTCACCTGTATAGTAGGGAGCATTCTCCGCAGGCTGTTGTTTCAGCCCCCCCCCCCCCATCACCACCGCCAAAACCTCAAATCCCCCCAGGACTCTGACCAGGTGATGGGAGATATGTTCTAGAGCTCCGCTCCCAACACCTTCGATTTTTGTTTTTACATTCAATTGCATCACATGATGGGTTATTGAAATATCCATGGCTGGAATATAATGAGTGGCGCTACAAGGATTAGCACGTTTGACCACATATGGTGCAAAAGAAGTTCAACATACATACATAGAAATGTTGAGTCAATACACATGTACAAATAAATACCGTATTATGAAATGCCATAGTAAGATATTAATTTGCACTTTTAATATATGTTTGAAATCAACCTTTGTTTATTTTGTCACGGCATTTTTTATCATTTATATAACATCCAGAGAAATCTGGAGAAAGCCCATACACTCGCAGATCTCATTCCCAGAAACTTCTATGTATTTACAACGGCTAACGAATGGACTGTGTGGAAAGGGATTATTCTGTGGATAATGCACCAAAGTGTGGCCATGACCAAGTGGTTTCAGGGAGTGGGACAAAAAGTTATCCTGGGTGGGGATCACCGATTGATCAAGTGCGTTGCATTTCAAGGGGAATAGACAGCAAAAAACATCATTACCAAGGTCAAGCATATGAAAGAAGAAGCATTGATTTCTATGTCAATTCAGTCTCTGTGTTCATGTCTTACATAAATGCATAAATGTATGTACACTAATCAGGGTTTAATTTAAACATGAGCTCTCTGGGCTTGAGCTCCAGAAAGTGTTTTCTTGCCAACCCCTTGTACGAGGAAGGGTAATGTCTAGGGTCTTATGATCTGGGGGCCCCAGAACATATTTAATGAAAAATTAAGCTGTGATATTAAGTATAAAGCAATTTAATGAATCGTCAGGATTTGGGGTCATGATTTAATTCAAGAATCAATTCTCCTTTGTCCAGGTTTTACTGTGTAGCTTACATAAATGATAATTTGTTGTTTAATTTATTCAAGTTGGTTTAGTCCATTAGCCGAAATGTAACATTGACAGATAATTAGCAAATATTTTGAATGAATTGTAAAATAATGAATTCTCACACAATGTTTATGCAGGTGCCATGAGCAGTGATACATATTCTCACGAAAGTGTGTGTATGTTTCTGTAATAAAACATATATACAGCACGTGATTCATGATACTTCACTAAAATAATGGGGAGCAATTAAAGAGGATGCATTATTTCATGCCCAAGACTCTTGCACGTCTCTTGCTAAATATTATAACGCTCTCATGACACACTTCATAATACATAGTCGGCACAATTTTGCTCACAACAAATCAATGATGTGTTAGCTGAGGTCATTGATATCCTGCAGTTTTGTCGCGAGCACACACACATACGTGACTTTTCATGCCAGCCCACCGAATGAAATCAAGCCATGGGGGGGGGGGGGGATTGTGTCGGTCGATGTGGGGGCATACCTGTCAACCCCTTATTACAGACCAATTCAGACCTTATTGGTCACCCCGTGCCCTTATAATACATCTCAACGTTCATCCTACAAAGTCCCATCACAAAGGAGAAACACAACAAAAATCTACATTTCTTTTTACTCAATTCCCCTGTATGGGTTGACAGGTTTCCGAGGGCCTCACAATTATTCTACTGGGGCCGGTCCAACTCACAGACAGCTCTTGCATCCAATCAGGTACTACTGCACAAGCCCGGGCTCATGAGATATCAGTGTGGTATCTATCAATGGATCAGCCTGTGATAACGGTAATATTAAACAATCGTCTTCACTGACCTGCTTCCGTTCCTCCCTTAAAATAACCACACACTCTTCTCCCTTGCCAAACCTACTACTCCCTGCCCCCACCTACCAAATACAACCAGGCCGACCCCAACACCTATCATCCACCAGACTACCTTATCACCAGTCCAACCCCTATCACTGCCTCTACTCAAATCACTACCACAATCCATCACTACCCCAACCCCTGTCACTACCCCAACCCCTATCACTACCCCAATCACTACCCCAACCCCTGTCACTACCCCAATCACCACCATAACCCCTGTCACTACCCCAAATACTACTCATACCCCTCCTTACCCACACCTACCTGTCCTCCTTACTGTAACCAGAGCTACACCACTTTTAATAACCCCACACTTTATTTTAACCACTATCATCAAACGAACTATTTTATAATCATTGTGAGGCACCTCGGACAAAGGCACGATATATACATATATACATCTTTATACGGTAAGATGAAAATAACCAAGAGGCCTTTCTCAATCCACTGCTGGATGGAGGCCTGACCACACCGTACCCCAGCCGAGGCAGAGGAAGCGTTTGCGGACGATCTTGTGCCGAAGACGGCCGATGACGGCCATGTAGGACTGCCATGCCTCGGTCAGCACCCAGCAGAACGAGGCCAAGAAGAAGAAATGCAGGAGCCCGGCGATGATGGCACAGGCTACCTGTCGGAAAGGACACGCAGGGCAGCTGAGGCAGCACTTTCATCGCCCCTCTATTCTCTCCCTCGCTCATCTCTCTGTCCGTGTAAGTGCTCTCTGTTCTGAGGCATGCAGCCATTTTGTGTTTTTCTTTTTTTTGGTCTTGACCTCAGCGCCACTCTGGGAGCTCAGGCATAATCTGTCTCTCTCCGTCTGTCTCAGCGTTGCACGCGCTAACACGCACGCATGCATGCACAACCAAGCGCACACATGAAGGACGCAGGTGCACAAGCACGCATGTGTCTGCTCACAAACACGCACATGCTTGCATAAAAAGATACGCGCATACATACATACAGGAAACAAACAAAACATATAAAGATCCCCTGGGTAGTCTTTCACAGACTGTTGAGACAAGTGCTGTTTTTGAGCAATATTAAGGCTGGCACAGCAAATGGGAGGATTATTATGGTTATCATCGTAACTGGCCACACCTTTGTTTTTCTAGTGCTGAGTACCTGGTGCTAAACGCACCAGATACTCATATATATACTCATATATGAGCGAGTTGACTTAGGTGGTCCCAGGACGGATTCACATATTCACCACTGATGTTAGGTGTGGTTGGGGATTGAACCCAGGTTACCAGGTTCATAGTGCGTACACGCCCTTATGCACACACTCACGAGCACACACGCATGCGGCAGCTGGCTGAGGTTATGGCAGCTGTAGATGGAAAGCTATGACTTAATTTTCACTACGCTGGGCTCACTGACGAAATAATCTGGCCAAAATAACTAAAGTCAGGGCATTCTTGTAAAGATATGGTTTGCTGTGAATGCCCGTCACAATGGGCCGTGATGCACATGATGAGACCAGCACGCATTGTCTTTGCCTCTTCCAAAATGGCCAATTTCAAGAGAAAACAGTGACCATTACGAGTGCAGCAACGATTATGTGCCTGAGAGGATATTTGTTGTAAATTTCCTGAGGCCAAAAGAATTGTTATCCTTTGGCCTGGCGAACGAATTTTACCACATCTACCTGCTTTTTAAGTGCAGTGTTAAACCTAAAAAACGCTTGTTTACAGGGACGCATTAAAGTTTTGTCCATATATGAAGACTGTTACACCTGCAGGCATGTTCCAGGTTTTATATGATTATAAAAAAAATAAACTTGCATAATGTACAATGGGCTTTAAATCCAGTACATTATCATGAACATGGCCGAGTGATGCTGCAGTTAAATCACCACTCGCAAAGCTGCGAGTTCGAATCCTGTCCCTCTGGGTGTATTAAAATTAGTATCACTTTGTGGGAATTCAACAGTAGCTTTAGTGACTGGCCCCTGTCATAGGAATGTGGAATTTCTGCTGCTGACCCAGGGCCACCAACGCACTGCCACGAAGCTTGTTGAAGAATGGACAGAGACATCTGTTCATTGAGAAAGACCTGCACACAGTATGCTGGTGGATTCGTGACTCAATTGTGTATCGTGGGTTGAAAAGAGTGAGCAAGTAGCCTCACATGCGTGTCTTTTTTGCTTTGTTTAAATTTATAAGGACACAAGGACAAAGGAACACGCATTCACAGGCACTTAGAAGAAAGTGCTGCTGGCACACAAGTGGGTGAATGCCATGGGCGATGTCTGTAACAATTCGTTGTCTATGCTTGCAGTTGCATGTGACCATTTCACATTGAGTCTGTCCTAATAAGAGGGGCTGACCATGAACAGATGCCGAAATTGATCACTGGATCACCAAAATATAATTACCAAGCCACCTACGCCTGCAATTTAAATCACAGCACGTAAATGCAATAGATTTTTTTCTTGTGTACAAGAAAGCTGACGCAATACCAAAACAAGGAGCACTCCAGGTGCCCTCTAAAAGCTCATTAGCTAAAATTGATATTTGAAACACGAGGGTTTCATCGCACATTAACAGATATATTCGTGCTAATGTGAATATTGAAATGCGTTCCTAAATGCTGAAATAATACATCCGAGTTATGCACATTCAGTTATACTGTCATGCAATTAGAGATTTAGTGTTATTTACCTTGTTTTGCATCTGTGTTTGCCCCACAACAATAAGTATGTTGGAAGCAATTATGGAGAAGCAGAAATTGATCAGGATGACTGATCTGTCAGACTTGATAGCCCTGGCAAAAAACAACAACATGGTAAGCATCTGTACACATTTAATTAAAACAGGCGTCGTTTTAATATTTCACAAACCGAATCTAACCAACTTGTTTTTTTCTAAATTAAACCACAGCTCGGTGTTCATTAAAAACACGAAGGCAATATTTTGAGGACAAGAATGCATGGCGTGTAATTTTTAGGCAAAATTGTGCCTGTTTTTTTTTTTATGCGCGAGTCCACATGGCCCATCTGTAGCCCACTCGGGCTGCAAATTGCAACCGTGCGGGGTAAAACCAGATGGGACTCTGGAGTAATCATTCACGTAGAAGTCCCATATAGGGTGGCAGGCTCAATACCACAGCCTGAACAAAATGAAATTACTGTATACATAACCGCTGATAATGGCCCATATAAAATATCGTGAGGGTCAGGAGAAAATCTTGGAAGGCATAATTTACCTTGAGTATTTGTGCTTTAAAAAACGAAGTATGATTGCGTGTGTGCGCATGTGTGTATGCATTCATGCATATGTGTGAGTGTGTATAAATCTATACTAGACGTAATGAAAAGGTTTTGACATAAATAAAAGTCATACAACCAGTGATATGCTTCTTTTGAAGTCACATCTGTTGTGCTAATAACATCATGGACTAGGTGCATGGCTGCCTAGGGCTGTTACAGCAAAAGTAAATCAATACGGTTGAGAGTCCGTGTACTTAAAAATAAAAATTCAGGCAATTTGACTGCCTCTTTTATGCATGAAGAGCACGTGTGTTCATGTATATGTGCTGTATACTCTATGATGTTAACATGTTCTTCAAAAGTTTAACATGTAGGCTTTCGCGACCAATATTATTTATAATAATGTTTTTTGGGTTAGATCGCGTTAATTATAAATAATTAAAGTTTTTGGGTTAGATCGCATTATTTATAAATATCGCATTATTTATAAATAACGCGATCTAAACCAAAAACCTTTATTATGAATGTTCTTCAACAGCATATACCCTCTCTGTGAGAAGTTACCAGTTTTTTTTTTCTGTGTAGAGATTGGTCCCTGATATTGGAATGTGGAATGTCCACCTGACTCAGGAACTTCACTGTGAATGCGCAACATTCAGTCGTCATTTGGACATGGGTCACCAACTCTTTTGATATGGGCTTTGCCCTTCGTTTTACAACGTTCGTCTGAAATGTCATGACATTTACTTATTTATTTTTGCTTCTTAACACTCGAGCAAAATTTAAGCTCGTGACATTTGAAGGGAAACGGATTTTTTATTTTATTTCCTGCCACTGTCGAAATCTGCACACCCCGTGAAATAATGTGGCACATCAACGGTGGCGCTGCGGCCAGAGCTCCCGACTTGCAGTCGCTTCGAGTCAATAAAAATGAATGAGACTTTGTGGGAAGCCTACATGGTCGTCATATAGAGAAACCAGTCCCCCAGCATAGGCATGTAGAATTCATACAGCTTGCCCAGAACCGACGGTGGAGACGAGTACCACGCCCGCCTAAGCAAGCATTCACTCTGACTTTTGATCAACACACCAATCCATAAAAGCCTGCTTATTCGTCCCAGTGTTTTATCGTGAGCCCTTAAAAGGCAATGCACTCGAGTGTTTGAATATCGTTTACCTCCAGAATATTAAATAAACAACAATTAAGAAGGAAAGGGCCAGGGATGAGATGATGCATCCCACTGCGAGGCTGACCGAAGACATGCCGAGGCGATCCGTGTTCTGTTGTGAACAAAGAGGAGAGTTGAACACCATTAGCAGACTCGTAGACACTTTCTGAGCAACAAGAAAACATCCACGTTATACTTTCCATTGCACTGAAATGTAGTGGCCTTTTTAGGCAGTGCAGCATTTCTGTGGGCAAAGTGGACTAACGTCTGTAATGGAATTCCTTCCCCTCATCCCCACACATCAACCACACCATAAATGTTTTATTCAGAGAACAGAATGCCTTGCAATTTCCAAAAATCAAATCGTAGTGGAACACTGGCCAATGGAGAGTAAAAAAAACAGAATAGCATGTAACATGAAATAAAGTTATCATTGCATCAATAGATTAATGTGACAGTGTGCTGAAAAAGCAAGCACTCCGTTTTGAAGGCTAAGTACAACCAATGTCACTTGAAACAATGTTACAGACAAAAAAATAATTATTCAACTTTGTAGATTTCCTTGGCAGATAAATGACCATCCTCTGGGACTCTGATTGCTTCTGTAAAACATAAAATGCTGTCCCACACTACAGCATTGGTTATAAAGAACCGGTGTGTTGTTATGTAGGTGAATTTGCCTGGGTGACAGGGTGGTTAGAGCGCTGCACCTTGCAGCAGAAGGTTGCGAGTTCTGATTGGGAAATGACTTGGCCCATCATCCGCATGGGGTAGGTAAAATAAATATCACTCTTTGGAAAGTCAACAGTGATTGTCCTGTGGCGAGAGTGCCTTTCACTAAATCAATGTTGAGCTTCTACCAAAGGCTTCGGGGCCACCCATGGAGGTGTGCACTACAGGGAGATGCATTGACTTTGATATGAATGAACAAACACGCATCCATTTAAAAAGGATCTATACTTTCCAATACATTTCCGTAGCGCAATAGTTATTTTTTTTACATGAATGTAATACAATGCGGGAAATGTGAATGGAAACAAATGTGTTTATCAAGGAAAGATGCAATGGGTCTCAGGACAATTTCTGCAGGAAGGTCTAGCTGGGGCTATTTGGCCAGTTCCTTTTCATGCATTTTTTTGCTTGTGGGAGGAAACCAAATTACCCAAAGGCGGCCAATGTTGACAAGGTAAACATTTTACAGCGTGGCCATGAAGTCCCTTTGCATGACATATTCATGCTCACCACCGTATTCTGCCGTCGTAATTCGGGAATATTTGAATCAGGAATTCAGTGGAGAATGTGGATTGGGAGAGGATCTCATCTGATGTGGCCACCCGAAAGCCCATAACCTAACAACAACAACACGTGCAGAACTACTGTTATAGTTATGGAGCCATCCACTTGGGAGAATCTGTCAAGGAGAACTTGGGCACAAATCCAGCTGCGTGCTGAGAATAGAGGGCAGCACGTGAAGCTGTTTCGAACAGGCACATAATCTTTTTTCATGTAAAGGGACTTTGTTTTGTGGCCACCCTGTACATGCAACATTCTGCACGTTAGAGACAGCAATCGATTCAGTCCCATGTCCTTTAGACATACTTCACTGCTATGTATGTATGTCTGACATAATTAGTTCCATAGCGACAATAACAATGTACAGCCCCTTGTTCATCCACTGCTGGATGAAGGCGTTACAATGCAGTGTCATGGGGATTGTTTGACCATACTTCTACACCATGGTCGGTGTCTGATGGTCAATCAATCAGTATTTATTTATTTCACGTGCTATTATTGCCCTCAATAAAGTAGGCATATGTGTAAATTTCAACAGAATTAAAACAGTATATGACGATGGAACAACAAGAATGGAGAGACCAGTCGTCATGACCTCAGCGGCGAACACCGACTCACAAAATAAAGTGCAACCGTGCGCAAAATGAAGTGCAACCGCACGCAACGAATATATGGCGGACAAAATATAAGGGGATCATAATCAGTATGGTAAAGGGTGGGAGGGGGGAGCTGAGAACCGGTTCAGCTATCCAGCTAAATGTAAAACTCTGTTTCGTTTGTTGTCCTTCCCTTGCACCTCCGATTAGCACAGATGGCTACGTACAGTGCGAAAGAAGTTCAACATACGCACACATGCATACGCTAGCCATGGTAATGATTCGAACAATGAGTCCACAGCAACTGCTATGACCACCGCTTCACCTCATGAGGTGCAGTTCGGTTGATTATTGAAAATAAAAGCTATTTTTTTTGCCCAGTTTTTTCCTCAGAGATACAACAATGCTCGACCTTCAAAAAACGTTGCACCATTGTACTGAGCAGAATGTTGTTGAAAATACCGCATCATGCAGGACGCAATGCTCACGTATCGTTTAACAATTCACACTGTGAGATAGAGGCCGCATCTGCCAATGTCAACGTGTATTGTCCCACGGAGCGGAAATTCCTATCTCGTTGGGTGCCATGCCTCATGTGTTTTTTTGCATACTATTCACCGCACAATTGCTATGCCAGTTATTTTGGAACGAGTGAATGCGCTAATGCAGAGATGACAGCCTCAGAGATTGTATGAGAATGCATTACTCGTGAACACCTATTGGGCCAACAAAGCACACAATGTGTAGGTCAGGTTTGGTCAGCAATACATATTTATATAGTATATATATACATGTATATGTCTGAATGCCTTTTTCCTCCCCAGTGCAAATGGATGACAAACTGCCCAGGACCAGTTCAAATAGATGCCGCTGTTACTGGCCATGAGTGGTGATCTAACTCGGGTCGCCGGGTTCTTAGCGCAGTGCACTAACCACTGCGCCACTGCTCCCACACATACAGATAAATAGATACAGTTAAACATAGATAACAATGAAATGCGATCCTCACATTGGTAATTCACACTGAAACACAATGATGCAGTGGTGATAATGGCTGCCTTAGGTTCAAGTGGCTTCATATGGTGTTCCTGATGAAACCTCATGGCCTGCACTTTAATAGGTACTTTGGCACTTTAACACTTTGTCAAGAAATGACCTCCTGCTATTCTACGCTGATAATTACAATGTGCGAATAATCTGAGGCAACTAAACCCACCTGTTGCAAATCCTATTTGAAATTCCTCAGTGCAAACATTTTACACCCCAATTCCTTTAAATGTGGATCATGTCATTGAAACAATCTGCGATCACACATTCCATTGGTGCATTAACGGTAGGGCTATGTCTCAATGCATCACAATGAACTTTCATTTATATGTGATTTTCAGTAAATACCATCACTGGAGAATTACAAAAACATATTTACACGTGCCATGTCTGATTATATTAAATGGTTGGCACGATTAGCTAAAAATAACTCTAGACTAACAGCACATCATATCCTTGCCTGTACTTAATCAAGTTATCTCTGCAAGCAGGTGCGTATTATGTTGCGTCTGACTCGGTACACAATGAGTACCTTTTGCACGCTCGTGAATTATAATTTGACAACTAAATCACCCGTCGCGTGGTACGCGCGCTGCTGGGTCAGTTTGCAAGGCCTCCCCGGTTCGATTTCTGCGGCAGTAATGTCTTCCCAGTCACATCGCGGTGCCTTGCTGTCAAGCTGATGATAAATATCCTGTGATGCCATTCTGAAGGAGAAGACCATTCTAATGCTGCAGTAATATAGCTAAATAAATCCATGTTTGATTTATTTATCATTATCAGCAGCAGCAGCAGCCATGATCAACCCACTGCGAGAAGAAAGCCTCCCCAAACCGTCGCCATCTCTCATTAACCTGTGATGGAACAATTAACCCAGCACCTAAACACAAGCTAATTTAATCACTCCATCTCCTCGGTTGGTGGCCCTCTAGGATGCATCCCGTACCTTGGCTGTCACTCCATCACTATTCTTGACCATCGGTCAACCTCAAGAATAGCGAATTTGATAAATTACTGACAAAACAATGGGCATGCGTAATTTATTCCTGATATTTGCCTTCATCAAGATTTCATTACAAACAAGTTAATGTAAAAAGAATAATAAATTGTTGACTGGCACCATTATCTATATTAAAAAGAAATTGGCTTAAATAGGATTTTTTTTCATATAGGAGATTATTTTAATGGCTATATACCATGGTTAACAGAGTAAATTGAGTCATTGAGTCACTGACTGATATAAATTTAGAAAGCCTCAATCAGTAATTGATGTTAACATCGTAGCCATATGGTCAGCTTACAGACACCATGAAGGTCATTTCCCAGCTACGGCTATCTCAAACCACCGCTGAGTGGGAATTTACTTCAACACTCATAATCAGTGCTTAATTTCAGCCGAACAGTCCAGAATACTGTTCAGGAAATTCCTGTGGCACACCTCATCCACCTTACATTATTGTGTGATGTTTACCTGTTCATAGGAATGTAATAAAATAGGGTACGCAAATATAGAATAATTAGGTATCAGCATACCTTGTAGTCTAACAGTAGTGGTAGTACCCTATGCCAAAAATACCTACTCCAATCCAGTCTCGATTTGTTTGGATAATATTGAGTGGGAAATTAAACCCTTATGACAATCGTCCTTAATGTATTCATTCGAAGTTTGAAAGCTTTAGGAAAAGTCCTACATTTGCTTGTTTGGCCAACGCTATGGCCGAGTTTTGTTTCAAATTGGACAGAAACAGAGTCAAGGGGAGCCTTCTTCCTGTGACCGGCTGGGTTAAACGAACTTCAAATCTTATCCATAATAGAGGTTTTTGGGTTAGATTGCGTAAATAGATAAATGTGTCGTTAAAACCCGCCACCACCCGACACAGCCAACTAGTAAGGGTTGTCACGTAAACAGAACGTGCCAATTGGTCACTAGTACAGCACACCGGTTTGTCGGAGAGCCAAGCCACAACATTTACCATCGGAGTACGACGTTTCGCCAGTAATTACAACTAGCTTCATCAGGCGACAGCCAGATCTGTGGAGAAGTCTTATTGTATCGTTCCTTATATAGAGGCATAGATGTGTTGTGTAAAATTTTATGTGGAAATTATCTCATGCCATAGAAATGTGGAGTTTTTTTCACACCACATGCTCAAGTCCACCAATGGAGATGAGCCCCTCCTATTTGGGTCTGGATATAATTCTACTCGAAGCTAAATATTGAGACGTGTACAAACCCTGTCTATTACACAATGGTTAGGTTATCAGTAGCACTTAGAATGACTCACCCCAATTCGATAACCAATTTGATTAACTTCCAGGTTTCAAAGTTGTCATTTGATTCAAGAATCGATTCTTTATTACGATTTGATGAATGTTAGGGCCTCTAGTGGCTGCATGATATATAAATAAAACTATTCTTATACACAAAATTCCACGCATATATCGGGAGCATTTGAATCAACATCATTGATTGATTGATACATTGTCCTACCCCTGCTTATCAGCTGGGTATGCTAAATGTGTGTGGGTGAACAAGCAACACTATCGCCACTAAGAAATCATTCCTCTTGCCATTCAAATGTCTACATGCGGACATCACAGGTTGGTGTGCTCCAACTGCATGCACTATTGCTGACAATGGTGTCGCCTCCAGTGGATGATGCATTACCCTCCTGGCCATAACCAAATTCGGTTCTGCCTGTGCTCCAATTCCCAAGGATGACCGCATTTATTAAAACACAATGTCAACGTTGATAATTAAAATGCGCAGATAAGTGCATATTGCACACGCGATGGCAATTTGAGGCAGACGTTTGGTCATGTGTCTAATTAGGGAGAGAAGAGAGTCGCGCAAAAAATGACGTTCTCTTCTCTGAGCATCGAGAACACAAATTAAAGTCAGAGGGAAAGGTTAAGGGCATTCAATCAGAATTTCAGAAGAGGCCAAATAAAAAATTGGAAGCTAAGAATTAGATGGCAAAATGATTGTGCGAGTGCACACGGACAAAATCTGCGCATGTACACATCACGCATAGGCAATTGTCACACGCCACAATACGCAGAGGTTATAGGTGTAAATGGGTGGGCAAATGAATGTGTCCATTTGAATTAGTGTAACTGCTTCCACGTGCGGGATATGGCATTCTTTATCATTGCCCCACACCCCCATTTCTTTTTTTTTGGGGGGTCTAATTACGCCATGCATCTGCCTATTAAACGGCGCGCAGATTGGAAATTAACGAGCCACGTTGCTACTATCACTTGCACGGTTCAGAGGACATGGGAACACGTCGCATAATTGAAGCAGAATGCGCATCATAGCCACATTCAAAGCAGCTCTCCTTGTAACCAAGTGTTGCTTGAGTAAACCCAACCCCCCCCCCCCTAAAAAAAAACAGGTCAGAAAATCATTACTTTAAATGCATTTAACTTCGGACGTGTTGTCAGTCAGACTATGAGTTGCGTGGCATACACAATTCCACATCTGATTTACACGGAGCTCACTTGAAACCGTGTCAGTATGTATTGCATTGTCCTGGCGAGAGTAGGATGGGCGCAGGAATTATAAATGAGAGAGCGAAAAAGGGGGGGGGGGGATTCAATTTCCCTTTTCGAGTGTCAATAATCGCGCATGACAATAGAGGCTGCACGGTCGCTTCCGTCAAAATAATTAGCCGCGCGGCTCGCATCCCAATCTGTGCCACAACCAACGGCATCGGTCCGCCTTTGTTTTATTAAACCGATTCACATTTTGTCACCGGGGGTAATTAAGGCCACGGCCGAAGCCTTTGCAAGCTATGCTTCAAAACAAAGCGGGGATGCGAGTAAAAGTAAAAAAAAATCGTGATGAATTGTGCTGTCCGCAAATCAAAATAGAACTGCGAGCAAGCCAGCCGATGTCACTCGCTCCGCGCGAGAGTGGCCGGCACGAGATTTTTCCACAGCAGCGATACGCTTCGTCGCAGATGTGGTCAGTGCAGCTGCACGGCCAACAACCGTCAATCAATCCCGTTGTATGTGTGTGTTTTTTTAATAGCACTAATAATCGCAGTTGTATCTTGTGATGGTTGTGTCGGTTTCCATCATTCACCGTGACCAGGCACACATTCGGCTGACATGTACAGATTGATCATGTTTGCATTCACATGGACGCAGATACATTTATATCATGTGCGCGTGAATACATGCATTCCATGAGTGCGAGAAACATCTGAGAAAATTAAACCAGCGTGTTAACGCACGATACACACTCAAAGTACCCTTCAAACACGACCAATTCTAATATAAAGCAAAACACACACATGCACATTCATTTGTCATGCATGTATATAGCTACGTACACTGCATTGTGCAAAAACCAGCAACAACAACAACAACAGCTGAAAATAACATACGCGAATAAACAAACTCATTAACTGTCGCGTCCGTCATGCAAGCAGAGCCCACCCACGGTTTGACAAGCGCGGGGCATTTCGGCTTCTTTTTTTTTAAATGCGCGCAGCTGGAAGTGGACGAAGAAGAGCGGCACTGGGGGGGGGGGAAGGGAAGAAAGGCACACATGGAGTACGAAGCGAGGAAGCGCTGAGAGCTGGCGGTGCTGGTGATGCCGTGGGTGGCTACGGAGCGCGCGGATGCGCATCGACGAGGAGGCGCGCGGCACGTACCTGCTCGTCGGAGAGCGGCGCTAAAATGGCGAAAGCGGAGGCGCGTTCGCACAGGCAGCGCGTGTGAGCTGCGTCGCTGATCGCGGCTCGGCAGCCCCTCTCGCTCCAGCTCCCCTCGCCGCTGCCGCCCCGCGTAGAACGGGAGGCGGTGGGAGGAAAGTGGTGGTGGTGGTGGGGGTGACGCGGTGGGACCAGGAGGGGGATGGAGAGTCGGAGGGTGGGTGGGTGGGAGGAGGGGGGGGGGTCCAGTCACGATGGGATGAGAAAGATGGGAGGGAGAAGATGGGATGGGATGGGGTGGCAGGAGGGGGCAGATGAGATGTGAGATGTGGAGTGGGTTGGTTGGGGGGTTGGTTGGGGTGGGTTGGTAGGGGTGGGTGGGTGGGTGTGTGGTGGAAGGTGAATAGAAGTTTAAAGCAGGAGAGGGTTGGCGGTTGTTGGAGAGATGGGGGGCATTGGGGTGAGTGGGGATGGTGGGGATGGTGGGATGTGGGCGCACAGACAGCCCGGATGTGAACGTACAACGTAGATTTATTACTCGGCAGGGGCAGTAGCGACGTGTCAATTTTTTTCTCCAATTTTAATATCGAGTTGTACAGTATCCGTGTCTATGTCTTTCATGTTGTAGTGTGTATAGAAAATGAAATACATCATATGTACTTGGGATTCATCCATATGCAAGTGGTGAGGATTTGTAGGTATGTGTGCAGATGGAAGCAGTTGTGTATTGGTTCGCGCACTGCACATCGATCCCAGCCACCCGGGTTTAATTCCTGGCAATGTACAATATCAGTGGAAAGTCGTTTCTAAATCTGTCCTTGACTTCTCCAAGGTCAACTCAGCCCTAAATAGTATTTGGTGTGTACACATCAGCACTGGGGAAACACAGATGGCTACATCACTTTGTTGTGTGTTGTGTCACCCGTAATAAGCACTCACTAAGAATGCTTGCCACTTCAGTATTTTGGGCTAACTGGAGAGACTTTGTCTTTTGTTGTTGTTTGTATATCTATGCACGCCTGCAAAATCATTCACTGATAGAAATGCATCATTGCGTGTGGTTGCAGATGCATGCACACTTTTCACGAAATGTTCCAAGGACATTTTCTGTTTCAATAATTCAGCTCGTCGAATACAAACAGATGACTATATGTAATGGGGGGGGAAAACAACAAACCAGATAAAAAAAATTGGCTGCAAATATTGACAATTTATTATTATCAATTTGTTTAATGAGAAATATTTTTGGTAAATTATGTTTTCTTTTTTTGTATCGAGTGTTCATCCATCTATGGTGGCTCGATGCATTAGCATACATGGATATTCCTAGGAGATGCGACCTATAAAACGCTAGACAGAACATTCTATACCCATCTAGACATCATCCTGCAAATGCTGTCACATTGCCCGTGGCTATACCGATGTGTACTGTTGGGTATTTGACCTGAACAGCACATATTCGCTGCTCTAACACACAAGTCATCGTGGCCGAATGTGCTTGATCGAGTATGATTGTGTGCACAAATGTATGGAAATATATACAAAAGAAAATAATTATCACCGAGTCATATTAACATACATGTTTTTTTTACTAGACTAAAGATAATTAATATAAGCATCTTGACGAGTAACAACATTTACAATGTGCCCGTCGCACATTCCCGATTTTGCACAAGATTTAAAATGTTTTCTTCAAGGCATTGACCTACACAGCTTGGCACCACGCTGTTAGAATAAGAGCTACGGCGCAGAACTGTGCTTAATGAAGCATGGCAGCAGTGATAACTGTGGCTCTCTGGGGACCAGCTTCTTGATACCACACCTTCCTAACGCGGTTTGACTTGCCCCGATAGTCGATTCCTGATCTGGCCGCCGACGTTGAGAACAGCACGCACGATTCAATCGCGAAATGCTCAACATGCATACTAATTCCTTTGCAGAGGGCATTATTCGGCATGCGCCGTAAAGCCAGCATTGCCATCGGTGGCTTTTGCGAGCAGGGATGGAAAGCCATTTCCGTGCCCTAGTTTTCTTTTTTTACGCGTGCCTTTCGCGCAGTTAGAGCAGCAGACATACGAGGGGACATTGTTAATTAAATAACTACACATGTATGTCGATGTGATGCGAGTGGACGTCAGCCCACGTATCCACAGAGCCATGTGACAGCATCCTGAGTGCATTCGCTGGGATGATATGCGAGTTTTAACCATTGCGCGAGGGAGGACGGTTTTGATTCGGACGGCTTGTTGTTGTTGTTGTTTTACCACCCACCACATCTGTACCACGATCGCAGCCCCATATTGACCACCTTTAACCCTGCCCCTGGGTAGACATTCACGAGGGCCGTGCCCTACAGTATGTCACGTTGTTTTGACGCAAAGGCTTCCCCTGCAGCCGGTTCATCGCGTTAATCTGCCGACAGGGTATTGACCGATCGCACTCCCTTTAGGGAGATTTACACATTTTACAAACACGGCACATTAGCATTTGCTACTGACAAAAAAACGCATCTGTATTGGCCGTGCTTGTCAATGCTGCTCTAATTTGTAGTTTTTTGGTTATCGTCATTATTATTTTATTTATTTACTTGGATTTCAATTTATATAGCTTCAGTTCTGTTTCCCACAGCATATGCAATGCATTGCACAAAGGGTAAGTATACATATAGCGCCTAAAATGAAACTGATACTTCACTTAAATGAGCAATGAGGCAGTGCTCATCTATATTGGTGGCTCTTAGCTGGTGGTTTAGTTTCCACTTTCTCATGACTGGGTCAGTAGTGTCCATAGGATGACCACTGCTGACTTCCCACAAAGTGGTAATCATTTCATTGACCCTGGATAAACGATGACCAGGATTTTGACTGATTATTTGTAAAAGTCCATGATTATATTAAATTTCCTCCACTTAATATAACCATTGACTTTTACAAATAATCAGCAGAGTGAACAAGACTGGACTTTACAACAATGCTCATCTTTACATCCATGCCGGATCCATTTGTCTATTTAATGGTGTTCCAACAAAACCCATGTCAGTCAAGTGAAGCCGTCGGTATGGACACTGTGACTATATGGTACAGTGGTTAGTGCACTGCAGTGTAATTCGTAGTGACGTGAGTTGTATTCAGTGGCAAGTCGTTTTTGCAGTTAAAATTGGTCTCAAAAGGTATATTAAACTTTTAATGACCACCTGGTGCGATATAGAAACATCGCTCCTGGGGAGACAAAGGCGGCCGGGCACGATGCTGGCCACCCACTCCCTCGTGTGCCATGCTGGCCTTCATAGGTGCTCGCGAACAGCACTTGCCCAATCGTCTGTTTAAGCAACACGGGGGATATTTTTGATTGTCTTTTTGCATGTATGCACTGCACTACACCAGTGACAATTATCCGAACCAGTCCTGGTCTTCTCCTAGGTTGATTCATCATCAAATGAGTACCTGGTGTGGTGTGTAAACATCGCCACTAGGGAGATAAAGTGGCCAGGCGTGGTGATACCCACACTCCCCCTCGTGTACTGTGCCGGCCTTCATAGGTGCTCGCTAACCACACTTGTCCCAACAATCTGTTGATGTTATAGGGGTAACCTTTTCATTCTCTTATGCATGCATGCATACATATATGATTCTATAATCCAAAAGTTAAATGTTTAAAAGCGTCATTCAAATGCGCCACTGATTGTTGTGATAAAGACTGTTTTAGTTTTCATAATTATATCTTTATTTTGGTTTCGCAGTAACCAGACGTGATTAGTTTTACTTTCAAAGCATATATGAAATGCATTAAAAGTAATTGGCTGTCCAGCATATGCTGGTGCTGATTCGCTTGCCTTCATTTTAAATCCAAGGATGACAGTTTGATCTATGGTTCTTCCACAAGTGCTGGCTGATTATGTCCAAAAGTGACTTAATTGCCTCATTTAAAGATCATATCGTCTCAAAATGCATATCCGTAATTACTTAAATATTTTTTCCCGAAATAAAGCACAACAATCTTAAAATAAACAGTTTTTTTCCCCTTGACGGCTACACTCTGGAAAGCTCCGAATCACACGTGTAAGTGGTGCAACTTCCCAAATTGGTCACTTCGTACCGTGGTGTGAATCATTCAAAGTCATGGGTTGTTTGCAGGTGCTCGCGTTCGCACTTACTTTTTTGTACTGTTCCAAATTACGCAAAACGAATTGGACGTCACCTGTGAACAATATAGAATGTGCCCGGGTGTCAGTCAAGTTATTTACATACAAAACCGCAGCAATATCCCTTCGTGTCTCAGAACAATATTTTAATAAGTGTAGCCTTTGCATCCTCTGGACAAAGTGTATTCTGCCATAGTCGCATGGAATATCTAACGTTAGTTCACGGTGTTTTTGGGGTTGTTTGAGCGTGTAGCCAATGTGTCGTGATTTAAAATAAAATGTAAGTCGTATTTTCATTACAATGACGTGTTTATTCAGACAATGTAAGAGCCTGAGAAGGATTCAAAGTCCCATAAAAAAAATGAGCATAGAGAAGAGATGAATAATGAGGTTGCTGAACAAAAACAATGATTGAGGGACACAATTATACGCAACTAAGTTTCGCGAGTAAACCGGAATCATGAATCATCACAAATTGAAAAGCATTAAAGAGGTATGCCATGAATCTTAGTTTTTAAATACACAATGACCAGTCATGTGTGCAATTATGTGGACAACATTATTATTAAAACAGATGGCAGACAGTGATTGCTAGCAGAAGGGGAAAGGCGATATATAGAGAATTTGGCTTTGTTATATCTGCATGAAATGGCACAAACCACAGGATAACTCACACATGCGTAATGTTACATGATTATTGCTCTGGTTGTGCTCATCATATATATTTAAACACTGATATAATACTACAGAAAGTCAAGATAATAATTATAATACATAGCTTATGTGTGGAGCCTAAACATATATACTTTGTGCTCATATATTGAAGTTTAGGATTTGACTATTAAAAACAACATGTATTTGAGGCCAGAAAATGGGATCCATGTATGACTATTTCAAATATAACACTCTCCGTAATGATGATAACATCACAACAGAAAAGGCTGGACAATGCTGAGAGCATTGTACATGCACTGAGGTAATCCCATGACATGACTGCAAGGCATGATGGGAGATGTACCTTCTTGCTGTTTGTGAGGACACATTTTCGTGTTGTTATATCTGCATCTGAATGTTTCTATTTTTTGTTCATGATGTGCATAGACTTCTCCTGCTATGGTATTTGAAATGTACAGAAAATTAGGTAACTGCTAACAAATCGTTTGACAAAGGATACAATTCTACTTTTTGTACTAAATAAAAAAAACGCATAGGACCAACAATTTCCCAAGACTCACAATCAGTTGTGCAATGTACCCTTGTGTTAAACCTCCAAAGGCAGATGTTCAAATGAGCTGCACCAACACTGTTAACTGGGACCTTTTTGCCAGTATCAAGGTATGAAAAAAATAAGAATAGGTTTGACCCTTTCTGGCATTAAAGCAGGTGTTCAGGTGTTCAAACACCAAATATAAACCTTTTTAAAGTAATAAATTCTGCATTAATCACACGTACTTGTGGTCAACATGCAAACAAACCTACTCTGAGAATATATTATTACCTTTGAAACTGATTACCAGAGACAGCCTTCTTTAGGGCCTAGTTTTATTGCCAGAAAGGGTAAAATCGATTCTTATTTTTTCATACTGTTAGCTGATCTCATGTACACTCTCTCTGCCCATTGCCAATATGAGTTTATATATGTATAAATTATCGTCATGTCCCATAGTATAATGTGCAGTCTCAAACCCGTATTAACTCTGTGGCTTTGGGCTCTCTATTTATGTGCGATGAAGAATGGCTCAAAAATGTCACCTGTTATATGAAAAATGTATAAGGCAGTTTTTGTGACAAATGTGTTAAGTTTTTTGCTGATGAGACTGCCTCGTCATACCATAGGAATTTCAGATTTTTTTTTGGGAGAGGAAAAAAATTGTCGCTGCTACTCTAGGGACAGAGTTTTCATTGAGATGTGGAAGTAAATAAGTAGAAATCCGTCGACTTAAAAACTCTACTCAATTAAGTCCCTGCCTGTGGTGTCAGGGTAATCCTATTTGAGTATTTTAATCTGTGTGTGTGAGCTGGCACTTACTATAAACTGAAATAACGTTGAATTTACGGATGATAGTCTTGAAGCTTATGAAGAAATCACCCGGAATGTGCCCAATGTTTGTCTGATCTCCAAAGATACACACGTTTGAGATTGTAAAGTGCATGTATGGATGCCCATCAGGCACACAAGTGTTGTCATCTGGCTGTGGGGCTATGTGGTGGGAAGTGTACCAACATTCGTTGTTGTACTGCACTTGTATGCTTGCATACAGGGTCATCTAGGGTTGAGGTGTGGTGGGGGGGCAAAAGAGGCAGTTTGTCCAGGACTTACAAAAAGCAGAAACCCACACCGGGCCTGTTTTTATTGTTGCTATTGAATATGTGAGCCCCCATTTAGCATTCTGCCCCAGGCCTCTAGGAAGGTCCGAGCGATCCGCTGCTTTCATGTCTATGCTCACCGCCTTCGCCAAAACGTCCACTGACCATCATGGTGAAGTATGGTTAAATAACACCCAATGGGCTGCGCAGTGGAGGGAGGCCCTCATCCAGCAGTTGGTTGAAAAAGGGCAGGACACGTACACAGTTTTTAAAATCTATTTCAAGGCAATGGCTGTTCATGATGATGATGATTACCAGGCAATGCATGAGGTGGTTGTCACTGTATATGAATGAGTGTGGAATTTTGACAACTGACAATAGGTCACATGATGAAGTGCACACACCGGCACTGACTTGCATAGGAGATGCTCTCACTTCCTTAAATGTTAATCTAAGCTCAAGTGAATGTGTTATAAACACATTTCTGATTTGTGAAAAATAAGACAGATCCAAACAAGCATATGTCTATTGCAGCACATGCCTTACGATGTCAAACTTGAAATATGATGGCTCTTGCAAGAGCCAATGCATGCGTACGCACGTGCATTTTCCAGATTTGTTGTTGTTGATATTTTGTACTTACGTTCAGTAGATGTGAGAATACAATTTCAATTGGAGGCGTAATGGTTTTCATTGTCGGGCTCACGGTAACGGAAATTACCCGTGAGTTTATAGCACTCGCATTCCTGTGGAGGGATAGTGAAGCGGCAGCTTGTCAGACGCGGGCATTTGATAAACCTGTGATTTGTATGGTATTTTTTCTTCAAAACATAAACAGCTATACATTTGTCATGTTGAAAATATGTTTTTGAATGTCAAGTGGAAAAAAATCCATATGATTGAAAACTATAATGGTGATTTATAGTACATTAATTAAAATCTTTGTCACGGGATGATTCGGTCCATCATCATTATTACGTGGGTAAAATAACTACCAAATCATGCACATATAATAGTGGTTGTCCTATGGCGAGACTGGTTCACAAATCTACATTGACTTTGAAGCAGGGACACATTGTTTTCGAATTTAATTAATCTATATGCTATTTAAAGTTAAAGTACATATTATACACATGCATATCGTGTACTGTATAAGACAAAGATCCCCGATATAGCCTTTACCAGACTGTTGGGGCAAGTGCTGTTATAGTGAGCACCTATGAATGCCGACATGGCATACGAAGGGAGAATGGGGGTCAGTACCACACCTGGTCGCCTTCGTCTCCCGAGTAGTGATCTTTACACATTGCACCCGGTATTAATTTCAGGCTGAGTCGACCTAGGGGAGGCCTAGAACTGGTTCAGATAGTCCTCACTAGTTTGGCCGTGAGAGGGAATCGAACTCGGGTCGCTGGATTTGTAGCGCAGAGCCTGAACCGCTGCACATCCGCGCCACCCACACGCTATCGCTCCAACTACCACGCATGCTGTATATACATGTTCACTTAACACTGTATGTGCCACATTGTAATAGCGTCTAAATTACTATGTATACACATAGCAATGTATATATTTTTTAATAATTTCTCAATACGTAGATTTACAATCATAGAAGATTAGTAGTGAACATACAAATGTTACTTATTGATACAGCTTTCGTTTTTAGTTAATTTAGAGTTGCTTATTTGGATCATAGCAAATGTACATGATTGTCTGTTCTGGCCTGTGATCTCAATATCCCCTGCACAGTCATCGGATGCTCTGGCAATTCCCCATAGCACAGGCAATCAGCAGTAGGAATCAAACGATTGAGCCATTGCAAAGTGGCTCAGTGGCAAGTACAATAACCACCGAGATACCTGGCCATGGCAACGCGTATCGCATAGGAATTATTGTAAACACAGTGGGGGGGGGGGGGGGATTGCACAGCATAATGTTCCGTGTTAGAATACCCAATGAACAATTAAAACATCATGCTACTTTCGGTTGTTTAATTAAATGTTGGTTGCAATTATGTGTACACACGGAAACACACGCACATGCAACTACACATACAAATGACAGGATATATGTCATACAAATGACATATATCCTGTTTAGCGGCATGACACACAAGGAGATGTGTGACCAACACCATATCGGCCACTCTTGTTCCACGAGTATATATGTTCTTTATATTTTCCGCAATTACGCGAATAATAATTTTGAGTGGTCGTGTAAAGTCGACTTAACCAATTGAAAACAAAGGAAAGGTTTGAGTACTATTCGCCACTCATGTTTTCTGTGGCCTAAAAATCCAAACCAGGTTTCAGGGTTTAAACTTTAGAGCAAAGTGCTTGACTACACAAAAGGATACAGATCCTCATTATAGCCTCAACTGACTATCTGGGAAAGTGCTGTTACCGGGCACCTATAAAGGCCAGAACGGTACATGAAGAGGTGGGTTGCCAGAACCATACCCGACCGCCTTTGCCTCCTTCGTGGAGATGTTTGTACATCATACCAGGTACTCATTTGAGGCTGAGCCAATGTAGGGGAGGCCCAGGACTGGTTCAGAAATTGTCAATGGTGTTGGCCGTGAGCGGGAATGAACTCGGGTCACTGGTTGGTAGTGCAGCATGCTAACCGCTGCATTTCCGTCCCCTCAACCACACAATAACTCCCTACACACACATTGATTTCTCTTGTACGATTTTAACGGAGGAATACTTTACTAGCACCGATATATGTACTAACCTTGGAGGTGGAAGAATGCTTCCGAGCGTCTTATAAAGCACATTCCCAACAACTGCTGACTCCTGCATGCCTAATGAGCACATGACAATAAATAAGGCAACATCAATTTCAACATGAATGCAATGTTACAACCACTACGCAAAAACAAAAGAACATGTCAAATTGTTAAGGATCGTGAATTTCATTCCTCTGTGAGAGCTGCTTAAATTAGATTAATAAAAAGTGCCGCCTTTAAACTGCAAATTTTAATTGAAAATGGTAGAAAGATTAGTAATATTTCCATTGTAACATTCAAAAAAGGCACATCTCATATGAAAGGCGAATGGGAGTGGGGGAGTTCGACTTGATGGGGCTGTGCGAACTGGAGGGATTAAAATGGTGTTTGAATGTGTGTGTTGCGCCTAATTGCATGCAGCGCTGTGATAAAGGGCTAGTTTAACCAAGACTTATCCCACATTTCCACAATCTGTTTCAAAAGAATCCCACTGTGATGCTGATGCCCAGATTTGGCTCAACCTGAGCCAAAAACTGAGCCCAAACGGAGCAAATATTGGCAATTCATTTCCACACTGCCTCAGCACATTTTGTTGCCCTTTCCTTGCCCTTCTCTCTCCAGTTGCCAACATTTGCCCTTTCCTACCATTTGCAGCCGAGTGTCCGTCCTCAGAAAGGTAAGCCATCACGAGGTAGGGATCTCGGCTAGGTTGGGGGTACGGGACAATGATCATAAGTGCTTTAATTGACTAATAGGATGACATTTCTTCACAAACTCATATTGTTATTCGGCTGTACTTCGTTCAAATGTACATGTGTTTTTAAAACATATATTTATTCTTGTGGGTATTCTTTTCATGTTCCTTTTTTCAACAACTTTCCATTACAATGCATTGCATGAAGTTCGCAGTTGCAAAAGTGTTGTCAGCTATAACGCACATCTCCAGACTTATTTTTAGTCACTGGCTTTTCGAGAATGAGTCATATCTGAATGTAACGAGAAGTTTACTTTTCTAAAGTATGACATTATGTATACGTTAATACATTATGCTTTACTACTCTATGGGGACCTCATTTGCCAGTAAAAATATGATAATTGGTTCTTTACCCTTCTATCTGGCAACAAAACTGACACCTTTTTGCAAGGAGTCATGTTTGCATAGACCGCAATACCTGCAGTCATAAATACAAACAAAAGACATAACTCTGATAATGTGCACTGTCCTTGAAGTGCGCCTTTTGGCGTCATCTGGTCCAACCCATATGAGACTAGGCTCGAAGGAAAGCTGTCTCGGGTGTGGACCAATCAACTTCAAGGACAGTGCACATTATCAGAGTTATGTCTTTTGTTTGTATTTATGACTGCAGGTATTGCGGTCTATGCAAACATGACTCCTTGCAAAAAGGTGTCAGTTTTGTTGCCAGATAGAAGGGTAAAGAACCAATTATTACATTATGCTTGTTCACGCCATGATATCGTATTCTTGTCAAGTGATAATCCACATCGAGTTCTTATTCAAACGTGAAGCGTGATGTAACAATAACATTGCATCTAACAAAAACAATTACGTGGTCAAATATTGGGATAGGTAAGTGCTGGCTACTGTGGCATGAGCATCTCATAAAAGCGGTGATGCAGTTGCATTGAAACTGTGTCCGACGTTGGCCCAAAAAAAGAAAGAAACTGTGTCACTCTTAAAACGTGAGCCTCTGCTAGGATGCTTTGTGCATGGATAAGATCATGGAATAAACAAAGTGGACCTGCTCAGGGAGAACTCTGGCACATCGCCAGCCCTATCTAAGGCTTTGTACACTGTATCGGTTGCGGAGGCAAGGCATTATTAGCGCCATTGAACTCACACACGAGGGGCATGGACAATCCTTTGGCTACCCTTTCAAGAAATTATCGGGATGCAAACAGGCAGCCGTTTTGTTTGTCTTTCGTTCCCATTAGGCATTTACAGCAGTTAAGAAAAAAAAACACGAAGAATGTCATCTGAGACTGCATGCATTTGTTCACAATTGCTGGCTGCCCTAAATAATTGTCTGTCACCACACTAAGAAGAAGGGCTATAAGCGGATATAGAGTCTGTAATGGGATGGAATTCAGATTAAGTGTGTGTTTGCCAGATAAGCTGCACAGAAACGTTACCAAAATTGCATTGATGTCACAGCAATGCGATGACGCAGATGGGAAAGCAGTGACCACAACATTTGTTGATGAGGTTAAATGTGAACCAATGGGCCTGTTAGGGATATAGTTATCCTGGCACATGCTGTGGCATTAGTAGATGCATTCTTAGGTATTGTTGTATTGCACACTCGAATTGCTATTTTTGTAAAATTAATCACAAAGCAACGAGTAATGTGCTTTACATCTGTATGCATGATCTTATGTATGGGAATGAGACAGCGTTCAGCTAGACAATACAATACCTGGACCGACGAAGAGGTCACACTCACGGTGTTTAACATCGTTTATCGATTGAGCAGTACCTACCCAATTTATGTCATCTCTCTTTACTCCTCTCATTATGGAAATGTATTCATTATGGCGGTTGGGATTTAGACTTAAAATCTAAACAATAATTGGTAAGTAAGCATCTCACCAACCATATGCTTTCTCCAACAGTAGTAATGTCATCTCCTGCACGCTTCGACAGGCAATCATTTACACCTTTAATCCCTGCCAGTCACTGCTGGCAGGAAGGTTAACTGCTGGGGAGGTCTCACTCTACCCTCTTCCAGGAACAACGACTTCCATTGGCTTTTATTGACACTTCTATTGGCACGTCTATTGATACTTTCAGTCAACTTCCACTTGATAGGAGGAAACTCCTCTGTTGTCCCCTGGATCTCTCTGGATCTCTCTCTTTGGTTGTGCACACTTAAGATGTCCTATCTCCTTTCCGGTGATTGACTTACTTATTCTGTCCCATATCTGCTTGTCAATGTTATTGTATTATATTATCCTGTTTGCTTGGCTCCCTTATCTTTCATACAGATTCAGAAAAAAAAACTCCCTCCTCTCAACTGTTTGCAATAACCGTACTCGCTGGCCCTCATTTATATATACTATGAGCGAATAGAGCATCGTGACATGGATAATAATCTGCATCTTCGTTATCATCAGTAGCAGCAAAAGTGGTAACAGAAAAATCATATTTGTCATCATCGTTATCATCATTCAAACCATAATCAACATATTCATCATCCTTATCACTATCACCATGAACATAATTGTCATAATCCTTATCACTGTCGTCATCATCATTATGAACACAATTGTCGTCATCGTAATCCTCATTCACATCTTATTTTTATTTTGATTCACGTGTGTGCTTGCATCCAATCTGATGCTTCCTGCATAGTTTTTAGCAACAGAACCCCGTTTTAAATTCAGCACCAACTTTTCGTAATCGTTTTGCATGACGGAAGCAACATGCATACACGTGAATTTGTGCAGAATAGACTGCTACGCCTGAACAAACCTCTGACAGGGACTTGAACTTGTAGCATTATGAGTGTGAAATGATGATTATATAATGATCAAGCTAAAGCTATCTCAAATACCCACTTTTCACAACCGTACAAAAATTGCTTTTCTCTCCATTTTGTTTGAAATCAATCATTGCCAATTTGAATTTTGCATCACATGTCCACTTGAATCTCGTGAACAGATGAGTCTTTGCCTTAATTTTCACATAGGATTCGATTATATTGTGGCAACATATTTAGTGAATCACATGTCAGTCATAGCCCTTGCAACACAAGGGTCCTGACAGTAACTAAGGGGGCATAAACACATGTACAGTGAATTATCATCACTACACATTACAGATAACGAAACTGTCTTGTCCAATCTGCTGGTTGGTAATGTGGCAGAACACCTGGCTCACAATCAACAGGTTAGAAGATCAAAACCATTTCGATTTAAAGCTTTCGTGACTGCAGGGATTCATCTTGTTGGTTCTTTCGGTAAAGTCACGTAGAAGGGAAATAATAAAATAATAAAAATAAAACATAATAAAATACAATTCTCACGACGTTTCGGCCACAACGCAAGCAGCCATCCTCAGGTTAAGAACAGGGCTGTTGGAAAGACAGCGTCCGAACACATTACTCGAAAGACAGCGTCCGGACGCTGTCTTTTCGACAGCCCTGTTCTTCACCTGAGGACGGCTGCTTGCGTTGTGGCCGAAACGTCGTGAGAATTGTATTTTATTGTGCTTTATTTTTATTATTTTATTATTTCCCTTCTACGTGACTTTACCGAAAGAACCAAGAAGATGAGCTCAAAACCATGTTGGATATCGATTTATCTCACTATCCCGTTAGGTTCAAAGAGGTGAAAATCACTTTGAGTGACGTCACAAGTGGCCACCCTAATGAGGCGTCTGTTCCCTGCCATGGGAATGTGGAATTTCCTTCACTTGCTTGAGGCCAGCAATGTAGATAAGCGCTGCCCCATTGTGTGTTTGGGTATGGAGATACATTTTATTAAAATTTGAAAAATCTACACACTGCTCAACAACACCTCATTTCTCTTGAGGCAGTGTTGTTTGTGAGTGTGTTGAGTTATTATTTTTGTTAAATCTAGCTTGTGCACCACTGCCAATACGGTGTCACCAAATAATTCGTTTTATTAAAATGGGTGTTTTAATACAATTTATTGAACACAGACCATGCGGCCAAAAATGCAAAGCAGACAGGGAGGACTGCACTCATTGCATGAACTCCAGAATTACAACTTTGGCAGTTGCAATATAAGGGTGAGACGAGATTGAACAACGGCAAGAAAGTAACTGGAGCAATTAACTGAGCATAGCCTCATCAGTCAACTAAACTGCTTTTGAATTATATCCAGACTGAAGACACGATGTGAGCACGGAGAGCATGTTATTAGACGGGAGGATGAGGGATTGTACTTATAACCTATTAACCTAATTTTATTTTACCAGGTAAGGCCCACTGAACTATATATCTCTTTTTCAGAAGTGACCTGGCCACAAATGACAGCCCAATGTAGTGTCATGTGGAAATGTATAGCAGACAAATACTTTAAACGCATGCTTCTAAATGTGGATGGAAAACCCGGAGGACCCGGAGAAAAACCCAAGCAACCATTGGCTGGGAGAACATGCAAACTTTAAATATACGGGATCGAGCCCACCACCTCGTCCATACCAGGCGAGGTAGTTAACGTCTCTCCACCACGGCGCCATGTGAGGTGGAGTAAGCTGACACTTTTCCCGACGCCCACAATCCACCACATCCAACAAGGCCCATGCTGTGACTCGTGCCTCTTATCACATCTTAACTAGGCCAGCGCAGCAGCTCCTCTCGGATAGTGGGGGGAAGGGTGGGGTATCAGCAGAGCTGTCGTGTAGTGGGGGGGGGAGGGCGCACCATAACAGTGATCAGACTGCGAAGGGGAGTGAACTTGAGTGAGAGACCAGCGAGACATTTGGCGATGCAGGGCTCGCCCCACACCCCGAGCGCAGGCCCCCGATTCCACTGCAAGCGCATGCCACCCCAGTTTGCATGGAGCAGGAGATGGTATGTATTCATTGTGAAGCTTATCACTTCATGATGGAGAGCTTAATTTAGATAGTAATTCCACAAGTGCTCAAGTAGAAGATGTTCAAGCAACATTTGCGATTGAGATTCTACATATAACGTTTCCATTACGTTACTAATTGGAACGTGTTTTGACATTTCCTTTCTTCGGTAGAAATATTTTATTTATATATATGTAAAATGCCCAAGGCCGAGGCTTGAAAATAACAAGCAATCAACACCATGGATATGAAAAGCAAGCGTTCCTATATTTAGTATCATTCTTGAAACCTTTATAATTGTCTATTATTGTTCGTGCCCATGCTCTCGTTTAGCTGCCCTGAAAATTGAAATGTAGCATCAATCTTGGTATTGTGGCAGGAGGAAACTTTTTTGTTATCTTGTGGAACACATTTCGTACTTGTTGTCTTCCAGACAAATGTTTTGAGATGTAATCCTCAACAAATAATAAAGGGATTAAAACCCAAAAGTATAAATTAAGTTAATACCTTAACATTACCCAATAGTTGGGTTATTAGGCCATGCCACTGCTTGGATATTTCACTTGTGGGTACCATTATTTGAGTCAGCCAAATAATGTGGGAACGATGCTCAACTTGCAGTCACAGGTTCTGAGTTAAAGAGCACGCATGAGTTACATTTTTTTCCATTGATCAAATGAGAAGCACTTTGCTGGGATTCAGAAGTGGTTGCTCTAAGAAGAGGCAGCCTGATAATTGTTTTTTTACCCTTCTATCTGGCAACAAAACTGACACCTTTTTTACAAGGAGTCATGTTTGCATAGACCACAATACCTGCAGCCATAATGCAAACAAAAAACATAACTTTGATAATATATACACTGTCCTTGAAGTTGATTGGTCCACACCCGAGACAGCTTTCCTTAGAGCCTAGTCTCACATGGGTTGGACCAGATGACGCCAAAAGGTGCACCTTCATCTGGTCCAACCCATGTGAGACTAGGCTCTAAGGAAAGCTGTCTCGGGTGTGGACCAATCAACTTCAAGGACAGTGTATATATTATCAAAGTTATGTTTTTTGTTTGCATTATGGCTGCAGGTATTGTGGTCTATGCAAACATGACTCCTTGTAAAAAAAAAAGTGTCAGTTTTGTTGCCAGATAGAAGGGTAAACAAACAATTATCATATTTTTTACTGGCAAATGAGGTTCCAATGGTGTAAGAGGCAGCCTACCATCGTCGAAATGTTAAATTCCCACCACTCGTTCAGGTCTGCTGAAAGGGATGAATGTCACACCGTGTTCCTGTATCAGGGAGCCAACTCTTCATTGATCGTGTTATTGGTTGGGAATGCACATATTAAAGTGGAATCAAATATTCAGCGGGATTCACTTCCGCTCTCTTTTAACCGCTATGCTATGCGGTTAAAAGAGAGCGGATGTGCACTCTATTTGGGCTGAAAAAATTACATTTGGTGCGACTCTTGTCCATGCAGTGTGTGCACTACACGACTAATAACAGGATTCACCAAACATCTAAAAAATGACCAAATATCAAGGCTGTGTGTATACTTAACCCTTTCCTATTTCGAAACGACTGCAAGTTGCAGGATGAGTCCCGTTCACCGCTAAATCTCAGAACATGCAAGCGGTCAGCATATTTTTATTTAGACAGGCACAGCGTCGTTGCTTTTAAAGATATTGTCATCAATGCAGAGAACTGTAGCCACATGACCACACTCTATGATAGTTGGTGCCAAACTGGACAACAAGCCCTCCCGCATGGTATTGTGGGAGCCTTGGTAGCGATAACGTTATTTAAAAAAAGTTTTTCTTCCGGTTCCATTCAGATGATGTACACGTTTCTATGACGTACACATATGTCATCGGAATGAGAAAGGGTTAAGGGGAATGTGCACACTGTGCGGTTTTGGAAACGTGGGACATTTTTTTCATTCAGATTATTTTACATTGGAGAGGGAGTTTGGGGATGAGAAGGGATTTGTGGAGGTGGAGTCGTTACCAAGTAAACATACTAATTTTGGGCCTACGTTAGCAAGTGGATGGAACCGTTGGACCAATGTTGCCCCAACTTTGGCCCACCGTTCCAGGCTTAAACTTGGTCTTAAAGAGAGGGATAATACTAGTGTCTACAGTCGATGGAAGGGAGTTATAGTCCAAGTAATCAGCAGCAGATAAGGCAGCGGAGGTTGATGAGGAATTCTGACAGAAGGCCTTGTGTGCTGGAGTGGAGGTCGTCGGGTGCGGGGAGGCGTGCTTCAGGCAATGAGCTTACCTGACGTGAATGATGACAGGGTCGCTTTCGAGATGGTCACTTTGTCTTCGCTGTTGCGCGCCCACTCCACCATGCCTCTCCTCGCCTTCACCGGAAACGTTATGTCAGCCGTTTCCTCCATGATGAACAGCTTGCGGATGCTGATAACTGTGCAGCGGGATTGGGCCGACAGCGTATCAATTGGTGTTCGAAGCCATTGACTAAATGCACACACATTTTAATGTGAACAGTCGGAGTGTTCAAACTAAACAAATATATATTTTTTATTTATCAGGTAAGGCACACTGAACTCTGTAGCTCTTTTTTTCAGAAGCGACCTGATAACAAACATGATAGCTCAACAAAATGGCTTATCACGTGGACATTTATAGCAGCCAAACACTCTAAATGCATTCAATTTAAATGCATGTTTCTAAATGTGTCTTCCTATAATCGGATACCACAGTTCCTCATTGTTTTATTATATATATAAATGATTTTACTTTATCCTTCTCTATCATCATGTATCTATTTTTATCATTTAAGTGTTAATTTGCTACCTTTCCCCTGAACAACTGCTCACATATCAGCTATTTTAAAATGTTCCAAATGTATGCAAGACATCAGTAACAAAGTGGTCTGTACCACAGCAAGTTTGTCAACCTCATTGCAGTTACTGCTCTGAAGTTACTATCCAGGTTTCTATTCACGAGGCAGCATAATTGATTTCTAATCACAGGGTAGAAATAATGACAATAATAGATTCTTGCTGAACCGACCTATGTTTTCCGTGATGAGGTATGATGTATGCACTGACTTTATGCCAGCTCCCACAATATGAATGAAGTTCTCCACAATTTTCATTAAGTCCAATGACGCAGGGTATAGCTGCAATGCAGACAGTACGATGTAAACATTCACACATTTTATAAATAACTACTTTTTTGCATTTCCTTATGGATTCATTCCCAATTAACTAATTTCAATCAAGGTCAGAGGTATGTGATAACGCCGCTGTCGATTTTCAAACACTGGTGTTGAATGTTCTTAGTGACAATGGGGTATTCTAGATTTGAAGTTTTCGTGACTGTAGGGATTCATACTCTTTGGTTCTTTGGGTAAAGTCACGTAGGTGAAAAAATAAAATGAAAATAATAAATAAATCACGACGTTTTGATTGCAACACAAACAATCACACCTGATGTCACACCTGATGATGATTGCTTGTGTTGCAATCGAATGGACAATGGGTTAGCAGTGGAATTTCAATGGAACAGCTTGACTTCAAACGTTGGTTCCAACAATTGCATGATTCATAACTGAATCAAAGTGTCTAAAATGTACTAAATGACTTGTATATTATATTCTTAGGTTTTTTCGGTAAAGTCACGTAGGTAAAAAATTTAAATTAATAAAAGTAAAATAAAATAAAAATCACGACGTTTCGGAGGCAACACAAGCTTCTGTCTTCAGGTGGAACCGTCACAGCCACGATAGCTGTATCAAGTAAATGAGAGATTACAAGAGCTACCACTCCGTATATATAATGGTTGAAGAGGGGAAGGGCCAAGTACGGCACACTTTTTATTAATATGGTAAGGTGAGGTTTAAGACTAAGAATAGACTGCATAACAAAAGGTTGAGCCTTTGTTATGGAGAGGTACGGTTTGTGACTACGCCTAGCCTGTGTGGTTCTGGTTTCTTCTTAGATAGGAGAAACCAGAGCCACACATCACAAAGCAGGATGTTAACAAGACCGTGATTAATCAGAGTAACATTTTCTGACAATCTAAAAACGGTACTGGTCAAAGGACTAAATTTCGCCGTCACCCGTAAATATATACCAGTAGAGGATATGATTTCTCAGATTGATGTAGCCCTCAGAGGCATAGGACACATCCATGCGGATGTGGCAAGAGCTGAAATAGCTACTATTCTTAAGAATGCTAAGAAACCCACTAGTAACCTCAGCAAAAACGAACACTCTGAACTCGCGGACCTAAAAAAGAGAGATGATATAGTCATCCTCTCGGCAGACAAGGGCAATGCCACGGTGATCATGGATAAAGATTCATACAACAACAAAATCCTGGACCTTCTTAATGATGGGAGTTACTCCAAAATTAAAAACGATCTCACTAAAAGCCTAACGACAAAACCAACAGTATCATCACGAGTTCGACTTCCCTAATCGAACCAAGCAAACGTCCCTCTCTAAAACCATCGGCGGCTAGACCTCCCAGACTCTATGGTCTCCCCAAGATCCATAAAGAAGGCACCCCGCTATGACCCATCGTGTCGACGATAAACTCTCCTACCTACAAACTAGCCCGTTTTCTATCAGATACTCTGCTTCCCTTCACAGGCAAGACCTCTTCGGCAGTACTCAACTCAACCCAATTAGTCTCTATGGTCAAGGACATGGTACTATCTCCTGATGACATCCTCGTCAGTTTTGATGTAGTATCTATGTTTACGAAAGTCCCAGTACCGGACACCCTAACAATAATTGAGGACTTATTCCAACATGGATTGAATTCTGATGTATCTGCGCTGGTTAGGCATTGCCTCACCAAAACCTATTTTACCTGGAATGGCACCTTCTACAAACAGAATGAGGGTACCCCTATGGGCTCCCCCTTGTCACCAGTTATAGCCAACATGTTCATGGAAAAGTTTAAATCAGACGCCATCCAGACATCCACCCTGCGTCCTTCCCTGTGGAAGAGGTATGTGGATGACACTTTCGTCATCTGGCCACATGGCCTCCCAGCATTGAACCACTTCTTGGACCACCTCAATTCTAGACACCCATCCATCAGATTCACCATGGAAGTGGAGAAAGATGGTAAACTACCATTCTTGGATATTCTGTTTGAGAGGAGACCTGACGGATCCTTGGGACATTCTGTCTACAGGAAAGCCACCCACACAGATTCCTACTTGAAACCGGATTCCCACCACCACCCATCTCAAAAGAATTATCTCATCAAAGCGTTATACCACAGAGCCCATGGCATTTCTGACCAACACCACCTGGCTGATGAATTAATACATGTACATCGGGCCCTCAGGATGAACGGATACTCTGACCGCACTATCCGCCAAGCTGTTTCTCCCACCATACAGAAACAGCCACATGAAACTCCGACCAAAACTATCACGTTACCATACATAGGCGTGACCAAAAAGATCTCCAAAATTCTAAACAAACATAAGATCCAAGTCCGATGCAGTACAGTGCATAAAATCCGTGATCTGATTCCATCTGTGAAGGATATCTTTCCTGACTTACAGTATCCTGGAGTCTACAAATTGAGTTGTAGTTGTGGTGATTGCTACATTGGAGAAACGAAACGTCATGTTTCTGATTGTGTCCGCGAGCACAAGTCAGATCTGAAACACGGCAGAACTGATTCTTCGGCCGTTGCCGATCATTGCTACAACTCTGTAGGCTCTCATGAAATTGTCTTTTCCGAGACCAAGGTGCTCTGCAAACCTCCTGGCTACCGTCAAAGGTTTGTACACGAAGCCATACAAATATACAAACACAGACATAATTTCAACCGTGATGATGGTTACAAACTGAGTAATCATTGGAAAGATGTGATTAACCATGCAAAAAAGATTTAACTACACTTATTTGGACCATCTTATTTGACAGACAACTATTACAGGTTATTGATAGGCAGCCAGTCTTGTTTTACCAGGTTTAGTTTTTTCTTTTTTCACACTTTTGTTATGTAGGCTATTCGTAGTCACAAACCGTACCTCTCCATAACAAAGGCTCAGCCTTTTCTTATGCAGTCTATTCTTAGTCTTAAGCCTCACCTTACCATATTAATATAAAGTGTGCCGTACTTGGCCCTTCCCCTCTTCAACCATTATATATACGGAGTGGTAGCTCTTGTAATCTCTCATTTACTTGATACAGCTGTCGTGGCTGTGACAGTTCCACCTGAAGACGGAAGCTTATGTTGCCTCCGAAACGTCGTGATTTTTATTTTATTTTACTTTTATTAATTTTAATTTTTTACCTACGTGACTTTTCCGAAAAAATCTAAGAATATGAATCCTTGCAGTCACGAAAGCTTCAAATCTAGACTTGTATATTGACTGACATTTCAAGAACCATGTTTTGTTGTTCAAACAATTGCATGCAAAATGGTGTGCTAAAATATGAAATCATGTTGTGTTTGTGTGAGCAAAAATATTCCACTGAATAGTTTGCTTTAATATGAATATATAACAGAATATAATATGATTAGTCATCACTTTTGAGTGCACGTTTTTACGTGTTCAACTACACATAGAAACACGAACTAATATTTTGTATTAGAGCTCCCATTAGCACGGTTGGCTACATATGGTGTGAAAGAAATTCAATATACATACAGAGCTGGCAAATTCTCATGATACCCATCCTGCCAATCGTGAATCCGACAGGAATTGTCCAGGGTAGAATAATATGAATGAAATATGATACCTGCAGGAACCACTTTGCTTTACTGTGTATATGTGCTGTATATGGATGAGGGATTTAGTCAAGTGACAGAAATGCCCCCCGATTAAGTGTCAAGAAACATATTTAATTTACCGCAATCACATTTAAATTATCTTATGATCATAAATAAAGAAATATATTTTAGAAGCATTATTAAAAACCCACCTGCTGTGCATCATCCCACTTTTCTTTGTGTTCTTCTGAGAGCAGGTTGCTAAAAATTTGAGCGTAGTTCTGAGAATAAAACAGAATATATACCCATTAGACTATCGGGAAGGGAAATATAACCTTGGAAACATTACGTTTAAAAAAGAATAATGCAATAATAATCATCACATAGTGTGTGTATATACCTGTACATATAAATACATACTTTATCTATATAATTTAAGGTCACCTGGACATCTTCCGAAGATGGATTGTAACTGGCAGTCTTGAATGCCTCTGTAACGTTCTTTAAAATATCTACTGAGACGAGCAAGTCTCCGCTGTACATGTGCTTCAGGTGAGATGAATCAAATAGATTTCTCATCACTTGTGCCATTCCTTCACTTGCCGATGGCCTGTGGCCTTTCGAAAGGTGTTCTTTCATCTGGTGCACAACAGAACGTGGAACACGGTTACACTTTTGACGAACAAAATACGTTTTTAATTACAAATCCTGAATATATATTCGTCGGATGTGCATCAGATATCACACTGTTGCATTTACTAAATACATTGCACATGGATTTGCATGAAGTTATGTGAAAGACCATTTTGTGAAAGTACATTTTGATACAATTTGCATGCAAATGAGCATACATCCCAAAACAACCATAATATATTTCGATTTAAAGCTTTCGTGACTGCAGGGATTCATCTTCTTGGTTATTTCGGTAAAGTCACGTAGAAGGGAAGTAATAAAATAATAAAAATAAAATAATAAAATAATATAATATTATGTTTTAACCATAATATAGTTTTTTTAGTTAGATCACGTAAATATTATATATTTACGCGAAAGCCTACGTGTTAAGCCATCCAAAAGAAACCAAAACAAATATTCATATGTATACAGTGTTGGGACAAATACTCTTAGGGACCGCCTCTTAAACTTGGCACAGAACTCAGAGATGGTGGTACAGTCAGCACTCCATTTGGCTGGATTTGATTTCCCATTTCTGATGTGAAAAGATTGTACCAGGCAGTGGCGGCTCCTGCAAAATCTCTCAGGGGGGGCAAATGTCTGGATGATTGATAAGGATAAGGTCCACCCATGCAATGGATAAATTAACAGCTTAAGCATGTAAAGGCAACTTCACTTCTTTAATATTAATGAAAAATAAAGTGACTCTTACAATACATCTTGTTTGTTTATATACTCACTATTAAAACAAACCACTCAAGTTTATTTTATTAAAGATTCCACTAGGTGGCGATAAATTATATTGTTGGATGAAACGTGCTTACGTATGATGACGTTAGCACGTATGATGACATAAGCACGTTAGTGCATGCCCTCCCGGAAGCCATAGAGAATGCATTGCAGCGCCCCCGTTCTAAAAAAAACATCTTTGAATGTAAGTCTATGGGGCCACTCGGGGCGATTCTCAACCGGAGTGAAATCGCCCAAAAAGAGGCGGTACTCCACAGAACGTGACATGACGCTGATTGGACTATATCCAGAGGCTGACAGTGACGGCTAGCGTGACTCTGTGGTTGAATGACATTGGTAGTGCGTCGCCCAATCGCCCTAATGAAGAAACCGCCCCTGGTACCAGGCATGCATTATAGACTGAGCTGACCTAGTAAAGGCCAAGGACAGATTAATGTACATCTTGTGATTCAAGAGCAGTGCATTAACCCCGACTTGAAGACTCCCTCATTAATTATAGCACACATACATGTAAGGATATACAAAGGCAAAGATACCCCCAATAGCCTTAGAAGACTGTTGGGGCAGGTGCTGTTAGCAAGCACCTATGAAGGCCGGCATGGCACACGAGGGGGCAGTGTTTTTACACACCGCACTAGGTACTCATTTGAGGCTGAGTCGACCGAGGGGAGGCCCAGGACCAGTTCAGATAATCGCCACTGATGTTGGTCGTGAGCGGGAATTGAACCCAGATCGCCGGGTTCGTAGTGCAGTGCGCTAACTGTTGTAATACCGCTCCCCATTGTAAGGATATAAACACACGTGCAATCAAACATGAACCCACATTACACACAAATGCAAATATGCATACCACAAAGATAAAAACAATCCCCAAATAGCCAGAACAGACTGTTGGGGCAAGTGCTGTCTATAAAGATGAATATATTTGTTTCAGAAATCAAAGGTGGCTCAGATATTAGCTACTGATGTTGGCTGTTGGAGGGAATCAAACTCAAGGTTTATCAGGTATGTAACACAGTCCGCTAACCTCAACACTACCACTTCCGGTAACACCAGAGCACACACCACGTTGCACATGTGCACACACCAACACAATACAACAAATTGCAATTTCCTCACAAAAATTGGACTCGATGGAGTCTAAATTGAAAATTATTTATAATATCCCCTTTGCAACGAACACAGACTTCAAATATTTCTTTTTCATTTAGCAAAAATTTTGTCCGAAAATAACGAGAGACTTTACCGTTTGCAGAAGCATGTTGAAATGATGTGACACGCAAAGTGAATAGCTTGGTGGCTCCCAGTATGCAAGCCCCCGGGAATCCAATGAGCATCTCCGCGTGATGATCCCTGCGCATGTAAACACACACACAGTCAAATGAGTCTGGAGAAAAAAAATCGCGTCGCAATTATGTTTTGTCAACACCTGTAAGAATGCACCATATGCTCAATTATGTTTTGGTATCTTCAAAATAGATATATGTATGAGGCCCATTGGTTTACTGCATTACATGTATTAACATGATTATGCGTGCTGTTGTAATGTAATGGTTAGCACATAGAGACCACCCGTTTGATCTCCAAGTACAGGGCACTTGAAACAATGGCCAAGTTTCTTAGATGCCCCCGCCCCACGCATCCAGCAATATGAATGGGTCCCCCACAGTCGATCGGCTGATGGCGTTGGGTGGGGTAAAGTGTGGGTCCTCCCACCTCTTCGAAGACGTTTGCCAAGTGTGGAAGAGTAGACCAAAATACTCTCTAGAGTGGCACAATGTAGAGCCCCCTCTAGCGCGGGGAGGCCCTTCTTGCAGTAGTGATGTGAGCAAGGCATTTTAGGGTAGCACCTTTACATAATTTTTTTACTGTGGTTTTCCTCTAGAGAGAGAGTGGCCCCGACCATGGAAATGTGGAATTACCAGCACTGGCTCGGGGCTGACAATGACGTTAATGCCTGCCCCAACAGCGAGACCCTTTGGTTTTTGCCTTTGATATATGGATTAGAGTGTAGGTGGTAAAGTGAAGCTTGCAATATAATTTCAAACATGCGTTTTGACCAGTGGTTCTTAACCTGAGGTGCAGGAACCCCCTGGGGGTGTGAGTTGCCCTTTCTGGGGGTGCGAGACATGCCAGATTTTTTTAAAGGTTAATCGTCCTGGCATGCATTAAGCACAGGCACGTAAGTATAACTACTTTGTTTCATCAAGCCTATGTATTTATTAACATTGTATGTTTTTAACGATTCAGAACCAAAGGGGTGCAAGGCTGCAATAAAGGTGAATAACTACTGGTTTAGACTATTTAGATTATGTTGCTACTATAAATGTCCAAAATATAAGCCACTTTGTTGAGCTATCATTTGTGGCCAGGTTGCTTTTGAAAAATAAGTTAATACATCAGTGGGCTTTGCCTGGTAGGATGGGGATGGCTTAGTTTTTTATGTTTTGGTAGCTAAAATGGTGACATTTTGGAAATTATACATATATATCATTTATCCCACGACTAGGTGAACACTGTCTAAAGAACACCTATTTCTTGTGGAAAGGTGACTTCTATAAACAAAAGGAAGGAGCAGCAATGGGCTGTCCTTTGTCTCCTGTGATGGCGAATTTGTAAATGGAAGATTTGAAACAAAAGCATTAGCTTCAAGCACACTAAAACCCTCTGCTTGGTTTAGATATGTGGATGACACATTGGTGGCCTGGCCACATGGAAAAGATACACTTAATGAATTTATAAATCATCTCAACTCGCAAAACCCATCCATCCAGTTCACCATGGAAGTGGAAGCTGACAGAACTCTACCATTTCTGGATATTCTGCTCGGATGGGGTCGAAATGATAAAAAAAAATTAACCCATAAAAACAAAGTTTTTCACTATAAATCCTTTATATGCGTGGCGGCTAGAGTCCTCTCGTCCTCTGGCTTGAGATGGCTGCCACCTATGGGTCAGATGATTGCCTGCCACCATTAAGCAATTGGTAATTAAATATAATTTATTTTTTCCTAAAAAGTGTAACATTTTGGAAAAAAAATTTCACTAGAATAAATTGTCACGCACAACGAGTCTGTGTGCAAAATGTCAGCTCGATTGGATCACGAGAAGTGGGGTTAAAAAACGACCGAAAGATTTGCACGGTCGTAAGCGCGCAAGCAAGTGAACTTAATATAAAGGATTTAATAACACACAGCGTTTACTGAAAGAAAACGCACACTGGCGTCTATCTGAATGCAGAGTCACACCATCACCCCGCACAGAAATCTGCTCTCATCAAGAAGCTCATTCATCAGGCTAAGAAAGTGTTAGATGGTGATAGTCTGCGAAGTTAAATTAAACATGTTAAAGAAGCGCTGCAATTGAACAGTTACAATGATGCACAAATCAACAGGGCATTGAATGCCAAAACCAAATCAAATAACACGAGTATTGAAACTGCCCAACTAATAAAAACTATTAAAATACCGTACATTGCGGGAGTAACTGATAAACTAGCCAGATGTTTTGAAAAAAAAACATCCGATTCAGATTAGGCATGGTACATAAAATAGAGAAATTAATATCTGGCACGAAAGATGAATTACCGAAGCTATCAACAGAAGGTGTGTACCGGATTGATTGCACTTGTGGCAACTGCTATGTTGGGCAAACAGAACGAATGATCAGCAGGAGACTAAAAGAACACCAAAGAAGTATTAAATACTCCAAAATACAACTGTCAGCAGTAGCAGAACATGCTTGCCAACAAGGACACTCAATTGATTTTGATCATGTTGAAGGTCTGTGAAAAACTAGTTACTACTGGCCAAGACTAATTCGAGAATCTATCGAAATTGAAAGAAGTAAAAATAATTTTAACCATTCGGATAGCTACCGACTTCGTGCTGCGTGGAAGCGAATCATCAAATAATACATTATTTAAATACATGCCTATACAGGCCACCATACTTCAATAGGGATTACCGTTGATACAGCTATTTTAGTACACATAATGGGCATGAAGTACAAGGTCAATGGGCTCGCATCATGCACATGCATAATGTACGTTGACTCATTAATCTCCCCACAAGTATGGTCACCACATCTACGCCTCAATAAGAGGAACGAAACAGATGGACTTCTCCACAAATCTGGCTGTCGCCTGATGAAGCTAATTGTAATCATTGTAATTACTGACGAAACGTCGTACTCAGATTGTAAATGTTGTGGCTTGGCTCTCCAACACACTGGTGTGCTGTAATAGTGATGAATTGGCATGTTATGTTTACGTGACAGCCCATACTAGTTGGCTGTGTGGGGTGGTGGTGGGTTTAACGACACATTTATATAATTACGCAATCTAACCCTAAAAACCTATATTATGGATATAACATTTATATTGTTGTTTCACCCAATTAAGCAAATGCAGCTAAACAAACAAACATTAAGCTGGGAAATGTATTCACAGAAAAGTAATTACATACAGAATGTTGACTATTATATTACTTTGTATTCTTTGTTTGTTGCTGCATTTGTCGTTGTTGCTGTTGTTGTTTTTTACGATGACGAAAGTTACGTTTATTATTTTTGTACCCATGGGGCAATACATTTTTTCATTGTTTTAACAGTGCCTCAATGTTAATTTCTGGGTTTAGCCTCGAACATAATCGTATCAACAGCTGCCTTGCCACAGACAAGTTTCCCTGCCATGGGGATGATGATTTCCACCACTGGCTCAGATAAACTACCAGCGAAGATTAGCGCTGCCCAATTAATCGTTTGAAGCACAGAGACACTTTGAATTTCATTTTTGACCATCACAGCTACGACATAATCGTTAGCAATAATTAAAGCAACTACCATAAGCCAGTAGAATTCTGCTCCGTAACCCAGTTTTTTTTTTATAAGAACTAGCATAAAGGATTTATGGTCACAAGGTTAATTACAATGTTTTACCTTTCAACTAATAAAATAAAATAAAACCTAAACGATGACTTGAAGGTGTCTTAGATTGCGGAGTGAAAATAGTTCTCAATACATCAGTCAATTGATTAAATGTCATCTCCTTCAAGATATTTAACAAGACCCCTTACCAAACTCATAATTTATGTTACATTCAATGGTAAGATAAATAAATAATTCATACGTCACGTACATTGAAAAAAAACCTTTGATGCCTACTGGTTCAAATAAATTTCAGTTGTAGACTTCAATGACAACACAAGGGCAAGACATTCCAGTAACATTTAATTTTCTGTGTCAACTTAAGCCCGTGTACCTTGACAACAGAACAAAAATAACGTGAAGACGAGCGCCTTTGCAAATTGCCACTTTCACGGAGCTGGTACAATGATTACAGCATCAGTGTTTGCGACATAGCAAGCCAATGTAATCTGGGCACTCAGGTGGAGTGCGCGCGGTACTTTAATTAAATAATCACCCTCCTCACCAGAGGCGTTGGGTGGACAGCGATTGATGGCGGTTTCTCCGGCTGATATTTGTTTCCACGTCAGCCCAATGTGGACATCCTGGTCGCAAAATTCATGTAAAGCTGCGGGGTGGAGGGGGACATAAAAAACACAACTGTCACTGATATTTTCAACTGAAATTATTTCATGATACCTCCTCCCCCAAATCCCCACCACACACACACACCAATTAGCCCACAACTACAAAGGGATAGTTTTAAGTTTATATTGTCATCAACTGTTGGGAAAATTATTAAAACGAAATGTGTGCGTTTTATTTACCGCATGAGTTTGCGCTGCCAAACTGGCTTTCACCCACTGTCATATGAAATGTCAAATGAAGTTATTATCTGGATTATAGTAGCATTGAACACCCACTCTTGTATGCTATTATGGTTTCATTTCTCACACATTAAGCCATGGGATGCTGCTGTGGTGTAATTGTTAGCACAGCGGGCTTGCAATCTCCTGCCGTGGCAGTTGGAACAACGGGGTCCGCATGTCTTAAAATCACCGTGCCTCTGTCCACCGAACAGCATGAATGGGTTCACCACAATTAGTTGATCGGCAGGTAGCATGCGGTGGGGTAAAGTGTGGGTACTCTCACCTATGCCAAGATCTGGCCAGTATCGAATTGTTCGCAAAAAATACACGTGGAGGCCCGAAAAGGGCACAAACACGTAGCCGTAGGGTTGCACCGTTACGTTTGACTTCACTTGAGATCATGCGTTTTTAAGTTTCAACGTAAAAAAAGCTGTGCTTTTACATTCGATTCAATATGTTGACAGGATACATCTGTATTGAAGATGCATGTTTAAAAGCTTTGCCAAGCAATGTCAAAACAACCCTTTGTGTTTAACGGAGCATTATAATTTCATGTTGTAAAGTGAGACAATTATTTTATTTATTTACTTTCACTCCCTTGTTAACAGGGGATGGCCACTCTTGTATTGTATCGTCTTTATTCTGTGCAGTGTGAAACAAGGACAAATACCCCCCCTCCCCTATAGCCTTAACAAACTGTTGGGGCAAGTTCTGTTAGCGAGCACCTATAAAGGCTAGTATGGCACACGAGGGGGTGGGTGGCCAACACCACGCCCAGCCATCTTTGTCTCCCTAGCAGCGATGTTTGCACACCGCATCAGTTACTAATTTGAGGCTGAGTCGACCTAGGGGACGCCCAGGACTGATCCAGATAATCGCCACTGGTGTCAATCCTGAGCAGGAATCGAACCCAAGTGGCTGGGTTCATAGTGCAGCGCGCTAACAGCTATGCCACCGCTCGCCATTTAATTTATTTTTATACATATATATACACACACATACACATCGAATGAATATCCACCTGTGCATTTTCGACCGTTGCATTTTCTTAACTCTTCTAGAGAGCCTGTAACAAAATGAATAAAACATTATGAGCAATGTCGACTGCTTGCACACGATAGGGAATGTATTCAAAAATGTGTTTTTTTTTTACAAAACCTTAAGATGACGAAAGGCTGCATAGAAAAAGTGTAATTCATTCACCTGTAGAGTGGCACGCTGCTCATTGATTATAACTCTCTGTTCATTTGTAAACGTGGATTACCTTTTTTTCTAGAGCCACGTTATTTTGAAATGCTACTTAGACCTCAACACAAGGGTCGAACATCTATAAAGTATGAAAAGGAAGAATAGGTTTTACCCTTTCTGGTAATAAAACAGGTCTTATGGTGTTCAAACTCCAAATAGATACCTTTTTCAAGAAATCAAGTCTGCATTATGTAAATAATTTTAAGCTTTGAGGTTTTTAAAATAGATTTTTTCCAATTTTAATGGGACAATTCTGGCTTCAGTTTGTTGGGTCAATGCAAGGATGGCAGCAGTGTGAGGAAATGTATGTATGTTGGAACTTATTTTGCACCGTATGTCACCAACCGTGCTAATCGGGGTTCGACATTATCAGTACATTGCTGTCATATTTCAAGGTCAAAGATCCCTGATATGTGTACATTTTAAGAAAGCAATGTTAATAAATACATTACATGTTATCTTCTTGTTTCTTTCGGTAAAGTCACGTAGAAGGGAATTGTTTTATTATGTTTTATTTTTATTATTTTATTACTTCCCTTCTACGTGACTTTACCGAAAGAAACAAGAAGATGAATCCCTGCAGTCACGAAAGCTTTAAATCGAAACATTACATGTTACTTTGATAAGACAAAACCTGGGATGATGTTCCTTCTGAAAATGGTAAGTAATGACTACGCAGATTCAAAATAATCATTAGCATTGTTATGGATACTTTAAATAAAAAACATTGATAAGCAAAGTCTTCTTCAAATAAAATATGTATTATCCTCGCAGCAATGCCCATCTGTGACTAAATAAATGCAGAGTCCTTGAGTAATATCATGGACAGAGCTAAATGGAAGGGCAATATTGCTGACGTCTTCGAGAAAGGATGTGGCACACAGAGAGACTGTAAATAAACTTTAATCTTCCGGCTTCAACATGTTGACACGTTTTAAAGAGCAGAAGAGGCATACCTCGCAGCCTCAATTCAATTGTAAACACCAGTTATTTGTGATTTGGAATGTTCCAGCAGATAGCATATTTTAGCAATGTTTATGAGGGGTATATTTTGCCTCTTATCCCACAATTTGCCTGCTTTGACCTTATTGTGCTATCGCACTCTGTGCAGAATTTTAATCCAAAGCCAATACTGCATAAGCCTTTTCCCACAGTTATGGGCAGCACATGCACGTCAGGATAAACGTTCTCCACGGTGTTCATATTCCCTGCGAATCCGTTTGTGTTTCTCACCCTGGCTGGAAGGCACGATGTTAATTTTAGTCTTCATTTGTTGATGATCGTTTGTGAATGTAAGCCAGGCAGATGGAAATGCCATTAAGGTATCACAGAGCAGCGCTTATTACACGGTGTTGTAACAATAATGATGATCACATAATGCAGGCATTTTTTTATATACTCTTTATTATCAAATAGTACCTGTTCTTGCATTGGAATGTAACAAAAACATCTCTGAAGCGGGCATTACAGCACTTGAATTGCAAATGCCAAATGTATTAAAATTGCATTTCTGTTTATTTGATACTACCATAACTTTAAATAGACAAACCCTACAATCAATATTGGCACATATACATTAAACAAATTATTATCTTTGGCAACGTGCATATACAATTTATTAGTGTGAATATATGATCATTTTTATCGACGGTCTATTAAAATCCCAGATTTAAGCATTTGCTCAGTGGATAATAAATGTGTCTAACCTGCTTTAAATCATGAAATACCTATATCCATACTGTTGCATATAATTGAATAGTATTTGTCCAAACGCATCCTTATAGCATTTTGGGCCAGTTTCATTATATTTAATGATTTCGTACAGCTGTAAATAGCCTCCCGAGGTGCTGGATTGATGGAATCGGGGGGTGTAATTGAAATATCTGATTCTCTAGACACAAGGCCACATTGCTCATGAAAATGAGTCCATTAAATTTTGCACGTCGTGCGATCATTACTCATGCAGCCGTGCTGGCCGGTGCAGCTTGCGCCAGTGCAGACATCCGTGACTTATCCGCTGCGCATGGCTATCCCTCAGCACAGGGGCAGGACGTTGAGCTTACAAACAGTGGCCCATACAAATGCGGATCATTACCGAACAGGGAGAGATGACAAGTTACAATGTGTGCACTCACTTGCTGAATCCTATTGTAATCAAGGTTCTCACATGCACGTGTGAGCAGTGGGAGAATGCTCATGTAGCCCATTTGTGGCCCTGAGCCTGTGGTGGAAATTCCATATTCGTATTGTCGGGATGAGTAGAGTTAACAACTTTATAATCCAAAAGAAAAATAGGACTCATTTTATATTGTATCTTGCCCTGGAAGTACCATGTTCCAAGTCAATCTCCAAAGAGGATTGTAAACTCGGAAACTTCCGAAAGTGACTCAAGCACCCTAACCACAGTGGTCACCCATTACTTCTGAAATATTGTGCGGAGCATTGAACGGGCTTATTTGCATAGCCCAAGTTGTGATAAATGTGCCATCTGCCCTAAAGGGTGTGAGCCATATGATATACATAGCCAGTAGAACAGCACCAAAGCGCCAGCTTAATTAAACACATTTTTATTCCTTTCCCTAAATTATTATGGAAATAAGTAGGCTTGCTGCCATTAATGTTAACCCGCATTGATATACAGTGAAATATATTCGCGTTAAAGCTGTTAGACCGGCATATATTTACATTTTGTTTGGTAATAAATGATGTTGCTGCACTGTGGAAATTGCTCCTTAATTTGCATTTAGCACGGGATGAGCAACTTTTTACATTTTTTTCCTGATTGTTATGAACATCTAAGAAAAAAATCCACCAAGAGATTGCCTGATTAAATTCCAGCAAATGTATTTCAAATATCCCGGGGTGAGTGGGGCGAGGGTGTATTACACCAGGGGATTCAACAAATAACCTCCTGCACCCGTTAATTAATATATAATGAAAATACATCATACAACAGGTGACTAAATTAGCCGTGACATTGCCACGCATCGTCCTTCTCTTGCAAATATATAGCACAGTATAACGCCGAATATCCAACTCATAAAGTCAGATATGTGAACAGATCGAATATGTGAACATCTAAAGAAAATTACGATTATGCCATCGTGCACAAGTACTGCACTGCGTGTGAGCAGTTAATTGGTCATGGCAGATATGTGACGTTGCATCCGCAGGATTACTTCAACACACAATAACTTGTTAAGATTAGAGGTCGGCCGAAACCGAAAGTAAGCCGAAAGTGAAAAATTGACTTTCGGCTGAAACCGAAACTATGCCGAAAGAGGCAATTTTGCCAACTTTCGGTGCCGAAACCGAAACCGAATTTCGGTCGGCCTCTAGATAAGATATGGCTGTAATGCCTGTTGAGTAATTTGCAAGTAATGTTTCAATATTGGATGTTTGGTCAATACCAGTGGCATTCTTTTAGCCTTGGAATTAAATCAGAGAGCCGTGCAGAACAGGGGGGGGGGGACATCCAAACTCCACACCGAGTCAGGAATCGAACCTCGGGTCTTTTTTGCTGAGGCACGAGCAATACTATTGCACCATCTAATTAAAATATATCGAAGAGTGTGTATGATTTCAACAACAGCCTAGTGGGTTGGGTGAGGCAGTTCTTGAAATAAGTGGTTTGATTCCAATGACCAGGACACTTTAGGAATTATCTTTTTGAAGCTGTGTTGGTTCTGGATGAAAACAAACGTGAGATGGAATTATTCAGTAAATTATAAAGACCTGCACAGCAATGTAAAGATCAGAGACACTCGGTGATATGTGATCCTTAGTTTGTAGCATGCTGCTTTCCTGTATGATTTCAGGCATCTATGTGTGTGGATGTCTGTGTGCGGATTGAATGTGATTGGCACTGTAGTTAGAGGGTTTGACTCACAACGAGAAATTGTTAAGTTCAAACCCTGCTTGGAGAAATAACAGCTTACTATTCCTGCTGTGTTTATAAAAACACTACAACCTTGCATGTTGCTGTCAATATTCATTGTTATGAGTATACTGGCCTCCAGCAGAACAAAGACGGACACTACATCACACACATTCAGATGTACTTCTGCGGCCATCTGGGACGCTCTTGCTTCTGATATTAGGAAGCCACTGGAGCATTGCACCTTTAAGTCGAGATTGAAAACGAATTTCTTAACAACTTTTTTAGTTTAATTTCTTGTCCTTCCACCTCCGATAAGCACGCTTGGCTACATACATTGCGAAATTAGTTCAATGGACATACATACGGCAGAGATACGAGGAACACTAGCGCTTACTTGAGCATAGACAATTTGACAATTGACTTTGACTTGCCATTGTACGTATACATCTTGGGACGTAATTTCCATTTCCTCTTAAAATTCTCAACGATGTTAATTAACTTAACATGTGGAGCATTTCTACTAAAACATGACACTCCACCACATGCTTTGAATTTGCATTAGGTAGTTCTTGAAGACCGAATGCTCCAAAAGTTAATTCCCTAATTAATTTTCCTTTAAAAATCGTATTCGTTATGAGACGGATGCCCATGGCTGCGCTGCTCAATACTGGTTTTCTGATTATTGGACGTACAAAATTAAACCCTAAGATTCTTCAAGGTGCCTTAGTCTCGCTCTGTGAGCCAGGGGTATTAACATGAAGCCCTAAGAATCATAAAAGTATCTTAATATGTGTGTCATTACATCATCAGCTATGTGTATGTGTGAACAGTATATATGCACATGTGTGGTTATATAGACTGCTCATATCATACTCGTTGATGTATATAATACTTTTCTGCTGCAAAACTGAGTCATTATTTCTGTAAGTAAAAAAAATGATTAGTTTCCTGGTACATACAATATTTTTTTCCTGAGACTTCTGGATGGGATTCCTCTGCCAGTCTTATTTTCTGTCTCTGTCATGCACTATATTTTAATCTCGGTCTCTAATGGCTCCTATTCGTGATTTACCCATCACCTATTTTACGTTTCCACTTTCATGCTTGTTAAAACATTTTTTTATTATTTTTGTTTTGCATTCTCCACCGATTTAGTTTCTCATAATTTCCCCAATTGTTTACATAGAGTTCTCTGTGGTCTATATGTCTATTGTCTTGCATGTTCATCCCTCTTCATATATCTTCCCACTCTCAGTGTCACCATCTATTCGAATGTTAGTTATGTATTTTTGGATTGTTGTGATGTTACAATTGAAAAAGGAATAACAATCTCTCCCAGATAGTGTGTAGTCACGTGCACTGTCAATTCATATTCTACGGAGAAAGGTGCAACTTAGCGATGTACAAGATTACAATGATTTTTTTGTAATTATACACGTGTTTGCGATGTAGTGTATGTATCCATAATACACAGTGTTTTTTTTAAAGCACATAGCAACATTGGTTATTCTTAACTCCCGGGTTATTCCCTCCTATTTGTCGAGTGCTACGTATGGGGATTTTTATATAGATATTTCTTAAATGCTATCGATAGCAGGGAATTGATTTCCCAGGTGGATTAACCAGACGTTATTAGCTGTCACTAGGCCACGTAGTTATGAAGCCCATTATGATACAAAAATGGTGTCTGTGGTCAATGGCAGTGGTATCTCAATAATACCATAATACTAAAATAAAATGAAAATATACATAAAATATCGAACAAACATTGATAAGTGCATAGAGAATTGAGAGATGGAAGCTTGGAATAACACTGATATACAGAAGAAGGAACACATGGATTACAGAACATACACCGTGTAATAATATCAACGTGGTCTTGGGGAAGACACATCACTGGAAGGGATGATGGACGATGATCAAGAATAACGATGGAGTTGAAGCCTGGAAATGGAACGTGTCTGAGAGGACATCCGTATGAGGAGATGGAGCGATGGAATTAACTCGTGTGCAGGTTCAAGGTGGATCATTATTACAGGGCATGATTAAAAGAGGCAGCGACAGCTCGGAGAGATCTTCATTCAGCAGTGGATTGACCATGGTGAATGCAGAAAAAGAAGAATAGAAAAACATCTTACTTGGGCAGTCAGCATTATAGCAAGGGCGCTCTTCAGACACACTGCCTCTGCAGTCGGAGCCCCCGAATGAAGGCTCCATGCAATCCCGGGTCCTTTGCTGCGTGCCATTGGAACAGCTCACCGAGCAGGGACTCCAACTCGTCCACTTGGACCAGTGTCCATCCACTGCAAAAAAAAAGCCAGGTGGAATTGAGATTATTACACGTTTCAGACACGATTCAACTTCACTTACGGCAAGTGCAGTTTGCTCAATCGATTAATTTGGGTTTTCGTTTATATACGGGCACCATGACAATAAAATCGCCTAAAGATGCTGCACATGAAAAAATAAAACATCTACGGATGTATACACAAAAATAAAAGTGTACAAAACATAAGATAATTACTTTCAGGAAAAAATATGAATACATTTTTAAAGCTCATAATCTTACTATACATATGTAGCGACATAGAATGGATCACTACGGCACGTAGCGCTGGGTACAATAGAATAAGGAAATATGGGTGTAGCAGCCAGCACAGCATGTAATACTATTCAGTGGGTCACTAATGTGCGTGGTGTTGGCTGCTGGCAGAAAGGGGCATATGATGGGTGGGAAATTGCTCCCGCCAAATTTGAGACGCCGTCGACTTCACGCTCAGAGATGCCAAGGGATGCCGCGCCAAGCAGGGACAGTTCATTGCACCTCCACCGTCTTCCACCCCATCGACCTCCGCTCCTCCGAGCCCAAAGGAATCCAGCACCTGACGACCACGGAACCACCCGTTAAGCCGTCGGAAAGCCATCCAAGGAGGAGGGAGCGGCCGACACTTGCTTCTTCTCCCCCCCCATCTTTTGTCCCGGAGGGGCTGCGCCCATGAGGCCATCTTCCATTCGTCCCTGGGGCACCCGGGAAACCCGCCCTTGTCCCACCTGGGGGCCCGGCGACGAGGAACCGTTCGAGAACTGTGCAGTTTAAATGACTGCCCCAGTCATTCTATTTATCCTGCCACCGTCTGGCAAGAGGTTACGGACACGAGCCGGGCTGTGTGTTGCTGGTTGAACTAGGTCCTTCCTGGGTTCGTGGGCTGTGGCGGGCCAGCATTTGTCAGGTATTGTTTAAAGTCCAGGGGTGGGTTATTACGGTGCGTCGCAATTTTTTTTGTTGGTTGTTGTGTTGACTCACAAGGGGGCTAACAGTTGTTGTTGTTGTGCTGACTCGCGAGGGGGGCTTAAGGTTGTCGTTGTTGTGTTGACTCGTGCAAAGGTGCTAACAGTTGTTGTTGTTGTCATGTCAGAATTGTTGTTGGTTCCTGATGGGTCGTCCCACTGCGCGGGGTGTGGGAGGTCAGCCGGGACGGCTGTGTTTTTTAAGGGGTGGGGGGGGAGGGTGATGTAGTGACATAGAATGGATCACTCCGGCGCATAGCACTAGGTACAATACAGTGAGTCGCTAGGGTGCGTGGTGCTGGCTGCTGGCAGAGAGGGGCATATCAGTCCTACATATGCCCCTCTCTGGGTCACTAGGGGGCCTGGCACTGGCTGCTGGTGGTGGAGAGGGGCATGTGGGGATACGTCACCCTGGCCGGCTGGCAAAGCACGTGATGGGCCGGGGTGAAGGATGTAGGGCAAATGTGACCGATGGGACACGGGGAGCATGGCCCAGGACCTTCTGGAGGGTTCCAGGAGGGGGCGTGGTTAAGGGCAGAGCCTGGCAGGTGGCACGTGGAGGTCGGCCCAGCACCTCCTGGAAGGTTCTAGAAGGGGGTGTGGCCGAGGGCAGAGCCAGGCCACACTTTGGGGCATAAAAGGGAAGCCCCGAGGCTGAATCAGGGCTGTCTCCAGGTGGAATGGAACCCGAGGTGCTACGTTTTCGTCTCCGTCTCCGGCGTCGTGGGTCAGACAGCATGTTGGCTGCTCTCACCCGTAATTAGTTATCCCGTGTGTGAACAGTGTGTAAGATATATAGTGTAGAATAAACGTTGTTGCCTTCTAAAATAGTGTTTCAGAAGTGACTCACTATACATACAACAGCAGCAGCATCTGAAGCACTGTGTAGAAAGATGGCAATAAATATGTAGTAACATCGCGGATGTCACTATGTGGTGCCGGCCCTAGAGGGGCACGGTGTGCGATGTACTCACATCGTGGACATCACGTATGAAGCGACATCGTGAATGTCACTGAGTAATTCCAGCTCTCGCAAGGCACGTCGTGCGATGCATTGTCATCACGGACACCCCTTAGGTGGGTGTAGTACCAGCCGTAGAGGGGGCTTGGTGAGCGCTGGGATAGCGCAGTGGCACCACGCGTGGCGTGCAGTTCTGACTCCGACAGAATGGAGTATGAGAGTGTCAACCATGGGATGAGGTTACCCTAGGCCATGGCAATCTGGTTGACCCTGGAAGGCACGTGACCAGTAATATCTATACAAGGGCCCTAGGTGGGGGCTTGGGGGTGGTCACGTGTCAGGGTGAGATCCTACGGGAAGGGTTGAGAAACGACAAGAGGTTTCTCCAAGGTGGTCGTGGTTAAGGGCGGGGCCAGCCATGACCCAGGAGCATATAAACCGGCTCCGCACAGGGACCGGGGTTCAGCTATGCTGTCGTCATCTGAAGATCTACGATCTACATCCGAGAAGAAGTCACCAACACGTGTATGAGGACCCAAGCTAGGGTCCTGCCCATTGTAGCTACTCCCAGTAACTAGCGTAGTTAGCCTGGTGGTCCCACCACCATCGGTTATTTGGTAAAGGGGCAGTAACCCCTTGTGTTATATGTTGGTGTTAATTAAAATGTGTTTCCGCTCAAGAAGTACATCTGCGACTCAGTGGAATCCACTACAAATGCCTTGATACATTATAGGCAATCATTGGTCGTGTGGATAGCAACTTAAAACAAGTGGTAACAGAAAGATGATACATTATCGTAAGGTCCCACTGTGTTTTGGCGCATGACACGTGACGTTTCTTCTCCGTGGGTCTTCATTTGCAGAAGACATTGTTTCTCAATGAGATCATACCTCGGTGTGAATCAATCAATGTTTAGTTGTTTACATGGAAATCCCATTGAGCCACTGACCCAACTAGTTTGCAAGCGAGATCTGTGGTGCTTCAGCACAGAACAAGAACAACAAAGTAATTCATACGGGGAAACAGGCAACAACGAAATAGAAAGTGTTGTAGGTGCATGCAAAAATAATGTATTTTTATTGTAATAAAAAAAACTGAATACGGAGATTTGAAAAAGAGGGAAAAAACTGAAGATAATGTGTAACAATCTCGGCGCAATATATCCTCAAAACTAGGGATCGATCGGGGGTGGGGGGGTGCGTCTAGGCAAAAATTATGTTTAAAGAACATAAATGAACAATATTAACAAAGGAAAAAGACACAATTGCACCAAACACAAGGGTGAGGTATCGAAGGGTCAGAGAGGTCAGAGAGAAGATGAGTGCAAGGTGTAGCGAACACGAATGAGCGAGTAAAATAACCACCACGGAGGAACGCGAGGGGTTGAACTCTACACTTTGAGCGAGGAGTGATCGGAATCGGTGGAGGGAGGGCAGGGAGTCGAGCATCCAGTCACGTGGGGCAGCAGCAACAGCAGCGGAGACCCATCGCCAAAGCTAGTTTCAATTAGAGGCCGACCGAAATTTGGTTTCGGTTTCGGCGCTGAAAGTTGGCAAATGGCCACTTTCAGCATACTTTTGGTTTAGGCCGAAAGACAATTTTTAACTTTCGGTTTACGTTTGGTTTCGGCCGAAAGTAAATTTTTTACTTTTGGTCTGGTTTCGATTTCGGCCGAAACTGAGAGTGACTTTCGGTCGTCAAACGAAGATCTATTTTTAGAATATAACGCTAGTGCTACGTCTATCTCTCTGCCAATCGGCTGGTCAGTCGGCGCTAGGCAATCCTATGCGATAGGCTGCAAACACACACGTCAGCAGCAGCAGCTTGGTCTGCTCATGTCAACAGACGGAAGCCTGCAGCTACATTCGTGGGTGGAGTCTCTTTGGTGGTACGACAACAAAGTGCATCTGTTGTCTGTGTAGAGCCGTTGTAGCTGTTGTAGACGGCCTGATTTAGACTTGCCGCGGGTGGCAAACAAACACAATGGGCGTGGCTACGTCGGTACGCGGAGCAGGTGCTCGCAGCGACGTCCTCGCCGTACGCTGGGATCCCCCACAGCCCCTCCCCTCGGGGGGAGATGGCTATTTAAGGCGGCGAGCCAGAAGGGCTCTGGGTCTAGTGTGTGAAGCTGTAACCAGTGAAGAAAGAAGACCAGCTAGACCGGCCCTGGAACTCCATGGGATCGCTGTCCTTTTAAGGACCGACCAGGCAAGCGAGCGGCGTGGTCCCCAGAGCCCAGAACTGACGCTCTTCTAAGAGCGGGGTCTGGGTATTCGGGGTGCCGTAACCTAGGTGTAAGCTAGCTGTGAGCTAGGCTGTTGTGTTCCGTAAGCTAGCTGTGAGCTAGGCTTCCGAGTTAGGTGCTGGTGTTAATAAATAAGCGTGTGCCTCCAACTACGTGTCAAGTCTCCCTGGAACCATACTACATCTGTTCCCAGCCACCTGCCCTGCCCGCCTTGGCTTATGTGTTGCGTCCGCTTAAGTCTACACGCGTGTTGATACCGAGATTCGAAGTCTGACAATATTGATATTCGTTAGTTAATAGTTCCTTAGCGAATTAGTGATAACGAAATTACGAATCTGAGTGAATTAGAAAATTAAAGTTAATAAACGGAGCAGTTAATCGCCGTGAAGAATGTTGAAACATGCGGTGTGGCATTACTTCACTAAAATCGATTCTGATCAAAACAAGGACCAGCTACCTGCTGAGCGAGAATGCGGAAAAACTGGTATTTATTAACTACAACATTCGTTTGTTTGGATATAATTACTAAATAAGTTACACCTAAAGATGTGATATTTAGCGACTCTCACTGCAGGCTCTGAATTATTAGTTCTAGATTTATTTTTATTGAAAGTAGCATGACATATTTAATACATCTTGTGTTCGGTAACTTCGGTTATATACCTTTCTGTTTCGACGAAAGTCAATATTTAACTTTCGGTCTGGTTTCGGTTTCGGCCGAAACCAGAAATTCAGTTTCGGTCGGCCTCTAGTTTTAATAGCTGCAATAAAAAAAAAACAGGGAGGCCCTTCTGAGGTTGCTGCTGGGA